CCTCATTCAGATTCGGCCTGCCGCTCCGAGGCGAACCCATCCGCTAGGATGTCTCATGGCATTGCAAACGACCGCACGTGGGATTTGTGCTCACCATTTCTTGCTATTTGATTGCAACAGCTCAACGCTTAGTGCTTATCTGAGGCCATTATTGCACGTAGGCTTGCTAAGGGTAGGCTATTCCCAGCCAGCCCGGTCTTGGTCAGCCAAAGGCACTCAGCTTTCCTCATGTATGCATTCTAACCTATGCATGCACCCGTTTCTCTGCGTTCCAGGCCAGGCTTGCCGGGTATACTTTGATCAGGACCAGATCGCCTTCCCAGCTCACACTCACTTGCATTCCGACGCTGGGTTTCTCCAAAGTACGCAGAACCTTTCACCGGGTGTGACGCAAACGGTAGTTGGTAAATGTCGAGTCTAATTTGGAGCGACGGCCTGGGGGCCGATTTTGCGCGCACAGGCACTCCGAGATGGGGTTCTCGGCATGGAGGCACAGGTGGCTTTTTCCAGGGCGGTCAATGGCCCCAAAGTCGCGGGTACGCGCAGGACCTCTCAGACCATCCTCGTGTCATGTCATCATCGATTGGATGGGCTTTAAGTAAGGGTTCCTGGCCAAGGCTTGCTGAGGGCGCCTGCAAAGCTGATCCTTGAGAGGCCACCGAATTGCTTTTTGGCGGTGACACTTGATTGGAATGGGTCCCCATTGTTCACGGATGCATTAGCGGTATTCGCAGGTCATTTGATGCGAGGCATGCTCGACATCCACCTCGAGGTGATTGCGCTGTAAATTCTATTGGGTGGCTTACCGAGTATATATTGACGTACACCCCTGACACTTACATCGAGCTATGGGAGTAGCTATACAATCGAGCTTCGGAGACAACTGCTTCACCTCTTCTCCAACGGATTGTTGGCATGGAGTACGATGCATAATCGGATCATTAGATTAAATGCAACTGATTACGCAAGACTTTTGAGATTATGTCAGTGGACATATACAATAACAGTACTCTCCTATCATCTTATGGTACTCGCCTCCACTAATAGAACTTAGTTTTAACTTAGTTTCATTGAGAGATCACTGCCCATTACAAGACACTCATCTACTAGATCTCATTCATATTGAACTCTGTGCAAATAGTCGAAACATAAGTCTTGCTCGCACACGACTCAGAAGTCTAGAGTACCATTCATCTGTGAGTATCGTCAAGAAGGCTCAGATGGGAGATTATGATTTTCAGATGACGTGGTCGGGAGGTTTACAATACTAGTGGCGTGTCCAAAATATTGTACCCCCTAATGGGTGTTGTCAATTACAAGCGCAGGCTTGAGTGTAATCAACGAGACTTCCGTTGTTTCATCTCATGTCCCAAATGTTGAGGTGCAGTTGCCAGTAAGATGTCCTGAACGCCCCTTTTCAGAGATGAGTCCAAATATCACGCAGATGTATTAGAAAACCGGACACAGCGAAATTCAGGTTGCAGTGTGTGGTGTGGCCGCTAGTTGATCTCGCTGTGTCCGGTTTTCTAATACATCTGCGTGATATTCTATTTGTTTACACGCACTCTGGATATTCGAAACGCGACTCTCATTCTTATTTATGCTTTGTAAATATTGAGCAACGCGAAATGAGACGCAAAGATGTCCCAGTCAAGGCATCATGACTCAGTCCAGCGAGCGTTGTCGGTACCGCAAGTTGATGGAGGCCAATTGCCCGCTATCCAACTACCTCCTTCACTGTCCGTTTTCCGTTTGAAAACGGGTCATCAGATACTCCCTACTCCTTCCCAATGGCTCACAATTTCATGACAGGCCTGGTCCTCCTTTCTCGCATGCCTTGGCGAAATTTGCCGCTGTTGAGTTCGTCCGTCCTTTCCCTATATTGAGCATCAAAGCAGAGACCCGACAAGGCCACTGTTCTCTCCATGTAGTTGCTTAAACAGAGGCTCCCACACAGTGATGCTCCTGATACTTGCCTTCCCATTGGCGAGCGGCCAGGAATCTAACGCAACAACTTTGTCGACGGTGGCTTCAACAGCTACACCGAACCGGTTATCTCTCTCCTCTAGGAAAGAGGCATAAGCATCGACAACAGTCTTGACGGGAGTAAGGTGTTCCTGTTTGACAGCCGCGACCATCTCCGGGGGGATAATATTGGTGGCGACGATGCCGGGGCAGACGACGTTCATTTTGATATTTTCCTTCAATTTCAATACGTCCGCAACCCCTCGCATGAAGTTGATGACTCCTGCCTTTGCCCCATTGTACTCAGGATAGCTAGGGTGCGGTTGAACGCCTGCTGCACTTGCCGTCCCTACTATTTTACCACCTCTTGGGGTATTATGACGCATGAAATGAATTGCCAGCTGAGTCCCATATATAAACCCTTTGTAATCAATATCAGTACAACTCGTATCTGGCGCGGGCGGGATTTCATTGAGTTGAGCATTCTTGTGCGACAGGATGTAGACAGAGGAGCGATCAACAATCCCAGCGTTGGCTAGGAGTGCATCGATGCGGCCCCACTTCTGGTATACCGACAAGAAAGCACGGGCTTGCGAGTCGTACGAAGATACGTCGGCATGAAAGAAAACAGTGCCACGGCCAAGTCTTTTTGCTTCAGAGGCATTTTAGCTACTTGCTAGTGCAGAATATGTGGTTTCGTAGTACCTATTACCTGGCCTTCTCGTTCGTTAACATCAATTAGAGCAACTAACCAGTCTTTGGAAGCAAGATACGTAGCCAGAGCAAGGCCCATGCCGGACTACTATATATGAGCCATAACATTAGGTACAATTGGAATAGAAAGACTCACAGCAGCACCAGTCACAATTGCGACTCTCTTGCGGTATTCGGAGTGCATTGTGCAAGTTGTCCCTCGAGAGCTCCTAGAAGTGGAAATATTGACTAGGACCTCACTGTCTCATCCACGCTCCCTAGCAACCTAAATCTTTCAACATTTATATACGAGTGGTGATGATAAGGCTAGCGGTGGAGAAGAGCTTCCGTGCCACTGCCCCTGTGCGAACCGTCAGGAATTCGATTTCCACCGAATACTGCCTGTCGAGTCTACCAATGTTCCATGGCTGCGGGGAATCCACCCCCCACTTCACGCAGCTTGCCTTGACCGTGATGGGTGCCTAACCCTGTCAAAAGACTAGCAGATAAAATATTTGGCATGCCTCACTTTGAGCAGTTGCATTCTTATATATGAATCATTTTGTAGTCATTCACCATTGTGACTACCCGTTTGCGGCAGAGCTCTCCACCGACGTAAGGCACCGTGGAATACGTAAGCCACATGTGTCAACGACTCTTACCATGGTGTTGATACAAATGATACTGTGAGGCTACGCAGAGTTTTGCGTGGTCCGTATGCATGCACTCGTGGGTCACAGATTCTATAATTTTACCATACTTCTGGTTATTCAGTTCTACCGTGTATTAGGTTTGTCTTGTAGTCTGTGGATACACTACGTCTCCTATATAACGCACCTCTGAACTGTGGCAAATTAGCGAGAAAATGGAGTCAAGTTGTTCAGGCGGGCATAGTGAGTTTGGACACGAGATAACTAACAAACCGAAGAATTAAGAGTCCCAAGTGGGGATATTCCCAGACTGTATTATAGTCAAAATCCTTCTGTGACTCTGATATTTGACGCGAAATAGTAATTCAAGCCCCATGCCTTACCCTCTACCCTACGCCGTTGGCCAAGTGCACTGCGGTTCGTAGCTCCAACTAAAAGTAATAGTTCTATGCCGTCGGAAAGTCTACGCGTCTTCTTCTTCTTTGGTGCACGTATCTGTTTTCCAGCGTAAAAAAATAATGCCGTGCTTCTTTTATCAATTGCAGAGAGCACATCATGACTGGAAACATGGCTTTTATGACTGCGACACGTACTCGAGACAGGCAGAAAACGGATAACTAACCCACCAACCTTTTGTTCATATATTTACGTCAAAATTATCAAAATGCTCGTGGAGCTAGGAAACCCCTTGCAACTCGTGTGATAGTAAGTCTGGCATCCTCCGTAAGGTTTGAAAATGCCCACCATAAGAATTCATCGTTATGTGCTACAACCCAACTAATTCTTTTTATCACGAGTACTTGTGTATAGTAGCTAAAATGATGGTTGTGTCGCAACGTAAATTACGGATATGCAAAGGTGATATCTGGGATATAGACCGTTTATTCTCAGGAGCGTCTCGACAAGACCATTATCACCGTCAATTACTTCGTATTACTTCGTATCAGCCAAGAAAGTCACTTTTCTGCAGACCAAATCAAGATATGTGACTCTGTGCGAAACACATCGGATGATCTAGGTTAAAGAGAACATTAAGAGAAGATGTGGTCAAGTTGGCAGTGCTGCCATTTCCAGCGGCAAATAAAACTATCATTTGTAGTCGACGTTAGGTCAGGTGGACGGAAGTTCTCCCAATATCCATTTCCAATGGCTATATTAGTTGATCTGAGTTCTACACACGTTTCCGGAACCAACGGGGCAGGAATAATGGAAGTTTATTGAACAGCCTTAGGAGCAGTCCAACGTGATTTGTCTTGGTCTCTCAGTCATCTCACAACCAATCAGGCCATGAAATTGAACATTGTTCATCGTATACCGAGTCTAGAGATTTCTCAATCACTTGCCGACAACCGACTTGATTGTGGTCTGTCGTTCTGTTCTATAGGTGAACAGCACACTCTTCCAACACATGATTAATGAGCAAGCCAATACTCTCGTTTTCTATATTAAGAAAGTGAAATTTCGTTCCTGTAAAAGATCTTTGAGCTTTCATGTAAAAAGTCCCATCAGCTGGGTGATTATGGAGAGCCACAATCGCCAATACACAAGTAGCCTTGGGTTACGACGATTTTGGCCCACTCAAAATTCCCTTCGATTTATTTCGACTATGACGAGACTATGACAGGACGATGTTATTTTGAACCCCACTATGCAAATTCCCGCACATTTTTTTCGTCATTCCCTTGTTGTTGGTTACAACGGGGGCGCATTCGGGTCCATCATGCACTGGTCCACCCTCATAAGCTGCTTTCCCGTAGCCTTGGCAATTTTGATGAACTGCTTCAAGTAACTGACGGTAGATGGATATAGATAATGCATCACCACCAAATTGCCTCCCTTAGCGACATCTCTCTTGAACGCATCGAGTTGTTTCTCCGGAGTGGTTGATTCCGCCCAAATCCAGTCTTCAACGTCGACGCTCCACTGCACGATGTAAGGATCATCGATCACAGCAGCAAGCCTCTGTCGCATCCGGGCCCCTTCGGTGCCAAAGGGTGCCCTAAAGTACGGCGTGTGCATCCCTTTGAAAGTGTCTGAAACCGCTCGAATCATGTTGCTGTACTCCCAGTCGATCGAGGCCTCGTCCGGTAGCCCTTCAAGCTTCGGGTGTGTGTAGCTGTGCATGGCGATCTGGTGACCCTTGGCGGCCATCCCGTTGTAAAGTGAGCTGAGGTTGGTTGTCGGGTCTTGGAGAGCGGCACCGACCGTAAAGAAAGTAACCGTGATGTTTTCGTCCTTGACCGTCTGCATGACTTGCTGTGCCAGTTTTGGATCGCCATCATCGATGGCAAAGGCAAAGGAGTTGGGCCGCTTACAACCGAAGACAAAATTTCCAGAAGGCAACTTAGACGGCACCTTCCAACCAGAAGGGACTGAGCTGACGATTTCGATCTTGGAAAATACGGTAGGTGTCAAAGTATAGAACCCCTTCAGGGCGACGCCGATCACTCGGGTATGGTTGATATTGAAATGGTTCATCGGAATGTAAATGTCAGAATTGGAAGCGTATCTTGCGGCTTCAACAGAGTCCCACGTTTCAGGATAGGGCTGGATAGCTTCGTTGCACTGCGCATTGTGCTGTTGCAAGGCAACACTGAACTTGTTGCTTCCGGAATAGGCAATGTGTAGGTAGGCGTCTTGGTACTGTGTCATGTCGCGGCAGGTTTCCGTCAGTTGCGTATTCCACATCAGGTCCGAGTCGTTGGTTTTGAGTGTCATTTTGTTACTTTTAAACGTCGTCGTGATGCCATCATCTCCACCGTGCCATTGACCGAGTGCATTTGTGTCAGCACCTCCGAATCGGTCAATCACCAGGTTGGTCGCCTTACTTGGCGGCGCTACCACGGTCGCTGTTGGTTCAGCAGGTTCGACTGGTTTGGGGGCTACATACTCAACGACTTCATTCCCGCAATACATGGCCACCGGACCCAAAGTTACTGCCTTCTTCAACCCGGTGAGATAGATCATATTGAACTTGCTCAAATCGATGCCGGAGAACTTGGACAAGGGGATGCTATACAGCTGATCGGTCCCGTCGAATGTCCACCCGAGCTGCTTCGTCGTCAGGCTCGCCGTGGTCATATCGTCGGTCCCACAAGTGCCCTTTGTCGAGCCTAGCTGTACGGTAAACTGAGAGCCGGCTGCGGCATTGATTCTCAAAGAGATTCCACCGTAACTTTGTGCGTTGATGCAGCCCACTTGCGTGTAGAAGTACGAGTCCGTGTTTGAGGGTGTCAGGGTGACCTTGTTGTCGCTGACGACAATCGACTTCATGGTACCGTCGTCGCTGGAAGATTTGAGGAGGGCATTGTAGTAAAGGAATGTCAACCTCGATTGCGAAATCCAGTCATCGATCAAGAGGTTGCTGCAAGCCTCATTCGCAACTGGAGTGGCGGCTTCAGGGATGGCAGCTTGAGTCGCGGCTGGAGCCTCTCGTTCTTCAACAGCGGTTCGGCGCCCCCAACCGCCCCATCCATCGTCATCGCAATCATCCCACCAGTCACAGTCTGACGTTGTTGGTACCGGCCTGCGAGTAGTAGTACGTCTAGTGGTTGTCCGGCGGGTGGTCGTAGTTGGTCGCCCAGGAGTAATCCACGGGTTTGAGGTCGTCGTGGGAGTGACTATGACCGTCGAGGTGACCGTTACAGTGGTAGGGCCAGGAACTACAATGTCTGTCAGATTGCCCAGCTGTGATTGTGTTGTCAGACTTACCTCCTGGAGCTGAGGTCGTGGTCGGACTCGTGGTCGGACCTCCAGGCGGAGGGGGGACTGGAGCGCCCGCGCTGCAAAGCAAAGCGATATTATCGATTTGCCAAACATTGTCGGTCCCAGTCATGCCCTTGGAGAAACCATAGAAGAGTACGCCAACAATAGCATCCAGGTTCGCACCCGTCCACGAGCTAAGAGGAACGGTGATTGTCTCCATGGATCCGGCGAGGCCGTTGACCGTATAGTAGTAGCTCGTGTACGAGTCTGTAGCGGCACCGCAATTGGGCTGGGTCTGGAGCTCCAGAGAAACTGACGCGGCCTCGGGCCCTTTGATTGAGAACGACAAAAGGTCATATCCTTGTGTCTTGGCTGCGGTACATGGGAACTGCTCGTACATGTACGATGTGGCCGTAGAGTTGGGAGTAAAGGTGAGAACGCCACCTGTTAAGCTGGTAGAGTTCATCGTGCCATCATCTGTAGTTGAATGAGAATGGCGCACTGCTGCAAGCTGTGATTCATCTTACCGCTAGTTGCCCCCAGCAAGCTGTTTTCGGAAGTGTTCCATTTTGAGAAATCATCGATAAGCAATGAGTTTGTGCACACCTGAGCGCTCCTTTGCAAGTCCAAGGCTTTTGTCGCCCCGATGAGGGCCACATAGCCCAAGACCATTTGGAACAACATTGTTTCCCAAATACCGATTTGGACGTGTATCGGATACTTCGACTAAAAAGCCAGACGCAAGGCTTCGTGACGCCGCGGGATAATCGAGCTATATAACCCAATTCATGGAAGCACCGCTGCCCCCCGAGGAGTAAACCATGGTTTGGCCTAATTGCCCTGGCTAAACTCCCATATTGCAGATACCACTACGACACGAGGCACTTTGGATGAACAACAGGGTCTCGTCCTTTGCACCAGTCTGGCCATAGTTTCGCTGTTTGTTCCTCGAAAAAAAGAAGTCTGGCCCCATCATTGGTGCCTCGTCGAGTATGCGGCTGGGCGGACCGGCCATGAATCCCTGCCCTGGGGCGTCCAATGAAGTTGCGTTGAATTTCCCCAGATCTCGTATATAGGCAGATTAGCCCTGCCCATAGGCAAGTGCCGTTTCATCCGAACCCATGGAATGTTCTGTCTAATCTCTTCGCAATTCGGTAAAACTCACCGAAAGCCACCAAAGCTTGTTCATCTAGACAAGATCGAAGCTAGAATCTGGCCCTCCGGCCAGTTGCATTAAGAGACGCCGCGCAGAGTACCAAAAACGGATTCTCGTCGGTAGTTACGCGAACCCTTCTCCAGCTTTTCATTATGGCGAGGTAGGTGTCGCTGAGGGGTCTGGAACATAGCAATGCAGAAATCAATTGGCAATACCGAGCGTCTCTTGCAATCCCGCAGAACAATTCCACCAATCTGTAGAAGATGATCGAAAACGAGGTGTTCGCTAATGCGCTGTGTATGCAAAGGCAAGATGCGGGCTTCTTCCATATATTACCCCCGCGTCGGGAGCCGTCTTGGCAGAACTGTGCATCTTAGCCCTATATTACCGTACCTGAACATCTAGACTCCGGCCTGCAGAGCCAATGTAACTTTTCACAATACGTCCTATCAAGAAACGAGTCAATTCATGCTCACGGGAATTTTCGCCATCCGTGTCCCGAATCCAGCATCTTGTCCGACATTTGTTCAGTGCGAGGCATATTATGAAATCACAAGTAAACGTCCGGCCTAAGCTTTCTTAGATCTTATATGTCTGCTGCGGCTTCGAAGCATGGTCCTTATTGGTCCAGTACCGCTTCCACCGCTGGCAGGCCAGGTACCATCCAAGGGTAACAACAGCTGTAACATTTGCTGTTTTTAGCGACAGTCTCGCCGCTGGCCTGTTGCTTTTGCTTGCAGCTGTACCCATACCGCCGGCAACATCAACGACCAAAAGTGTGTAATTACTCACAAGTCACCGAACAGTTAGACCCAACTACCGGGGCTGACGTGTGCTTCATTACTGCACCTTCCGGGAGATGTCGGTTGAATGCCCTGGGATCCTTGTAGATGGCCAGCCGCCAATTCCGATGGAGCTTTGACAAATATTTTCATCACTCGTTGGCCACGAAGTCAGGACCGAAAATGTCGTAATCGGCGTCTCCAACGCCGTGACACGTTACATACCACAAGTCCAGCTTCGCCCCTCATCCATTGTGGCACGACCAGAGGATGATAGTAAACAGCCCATCCATTCACTGTCTGTTGGGAAGACATCACGCGTTGTCCGAAGTCGATCCATTAAGCCCAGCTGTTTGGCGTCCGCCCAACCACCACAGATAGACGTACACCACCGGGAAGCCTAAAGCGGTACAGCATGTTTTCAAAGTGACAAAGAAACACAATACAAGGCACGCACGAGAGGTGGGGTTTATTTTTTCTCAGGTGAACGATGCCAGTGTGTGATATCAAATATGATTCAAGAGACGCCTCTTATGCATTAGTCTATAAGGATACCCAGTCTATCTCGAGACAAGATGGTACAAAGTTGCTAACCAAAATCGTCCGTTGGACCCTGTACATCAACGACCTCCTGGCTGTTGCCATGCCCTGTACTCATTAGGGGTGAGGCTTCTAGAGGTGGCGCGGTGGCGCCGGGAAACCCTGCTGTGCTTATTCTCCGCCCTCTCGTGTTGAGGACTTCGCTCTCCTCATCCACCTGATCGCTGTCTTGGACTGTTGACTCTTCACCGTGCTCGTCAGCCTCAAGTTTCTCGTTCAACTGCTGCCCGATTCCGAGCATGAAGGCGCTCGCGCGCTCGAATTTGTCAATACCATGCTCTGTTGGCAAATCGCCGTACATTCTGCGTGCTTCGTTGAGGCAGCGCTGGGCTGGTATGTACTTGGACTGTGCCAACCATGCATCGGCGCCTAGTATACTCCAAAGCGCCGACTTGCGCCTTCGGCTACCCAGCTGCTGGGTTCCCAACCCGGTCCTGGATGCATAGCAGACAGCGAGCCGCTCCTTGATGAGCGCTTCACCTACTGGGCCAAGAATTTTGCTTTCAATCAGGCGGATTCCCCATTTAGCAGCATCGTCGATGTTTGAGCCGCCGCGTAGACGGAGCAGCTCGATGCCGAGGATGAGACAGCGGACCGCGCCGTACGGAGCTGTGCAGCGGGTAAGGTAGGAGTAGACAGCAGCCTCAAACATGGCGTCGATGGTCTCGGCGCGGGTCTTTGCGCTCAGGTTCTGGGGCAGCATGAGCAGGCTGATGGCAGCCATCTCATTTGTTGCCGCATGATATCTCCAGGCTTTGTCGTTACTAAAGTCGCCGCGGAGGATGTCGTAGGTAGAGTAGGCGAGTTTCCAATCACGAAGCATGAACGCGTAATCGGCGAGCTTGCGCATGATGGCCTCGGGTGCGTCCTGGCGATAGAAGCCCAGGGAGTCGTAGTTGCTGCCCGACCCCTGAGTTGCGCTAGACGACTTGGATGTGCTGCCAAATCCCCACCGACGGGTCAGACCCAGGAAGCGTCCAGCCACACCTCTCCGCCGAGAGGCGACCTGGTCATTCCAGACCGAGACGTGGCGCTCCATGGTAGGTATGATGGACTGCGTGACCATCTCGCGGACGAAGGTCCGTATCGCAGTTGCGTCAGATTCGTAAATGTATCGCGTTTGGTCTTCTAGGTCGTCCTGGTCGTCGTGCCTCCTGATGTTGGCCAGCTCCTCAGAAGCGGACATCCACTCGCTGGTCGGTAATGGTATGCTGTCGTCGTCGGTTGCAACGCTCTGTGTGCCACGTATCCTAAGCAGGTGGCAATGCAAGCCGAGATTACGCTTCATTTGATCAAATAGCGACATGGATCGTGTGATGTCATCCGACTCTTCATCGTGAACCAGTACATAGTATCGCAGGTATTCCGAGTCCACCCAATTTGGCAGCCTTCTGTCTCCTGTGCTCGACTGGGTGTATAGATTTCTCAGCGTCTCGATGGGTGCTGGATTCCTCGAACTTATCGCGATGACACATGCGACTGGGTGGGCAAAGGCCTCATGAGGAGCTATGGGCAGGCCCGATAGCAGCCGGCGCAGGTACAACGAGTAGTAAGGCGATGGCACATCGATATCTAATCCATGTTTGGTGGCAATGGGGCTCTGCGAGGCCGCAGGAGCGGAATCTTCTGCGTAGCTCAGGTGGCGCTCCACGACAGCCTCAACGTCAGCGAGGGTCCTGCCGCGAGACGAAGGTTCGTCTTTGCCGCCGCCTGTAGTCTTTTCCAAGGACCCGTTCAGCGTCTTCTTGAGTCCGCCCGTGGTTGGCTCTGGGTGCTCCAGCCCTTCGCCAAACCTCACGAAATGCACTGAATAATCTTCGTAGGTGCGACTCGCCCCATTACTGTCCCGTATGATGACCTTGCCCTGTATGCGCTCGCCAAAGGGCCGTAGCAGCTGCCAGAGGCCTCGGTCGAAACCCTTCTCCCCCAGCAGCTGGTCGGTATCGTCGGATGCGTAGACGGCAACATGCGGCACGAAGGCCTTGCATATGAGATTCAGCGGGTCGCCGGGGCTATCCCCTGCGCCCTCGAGTGCGAGCGCATTGTTAGAGCCGAGGCCGCCAAATACAGAGCCCGAGTTGACGCGCGAGGCGAGTCGGGCGCCGGCGGGCGACTGGGAGCGGGAGCCCGGCGGTGACAAGGTCGAGGCGTAGAGAGAGGCTGCCGAGGGATGCGAGCGGCGGTCTCGTATAGGCAGGGTGATTTCGGACTGCGACAGCGGCGTTCCGTCTACCGAAGCCAGGCGTGTCTTCTGGACGTTCAGCGGCGAGGCGGACGAGGCTGCCATGGGAGGGGTTGGGAGCGGTTCAGTCGGCGAGCCATGGTCGAAGCTGGACTCCATGGCTCCCGGATGGCATGAGGAGCCCTCCGCGTCTGGAGGGACGGCACCGTTCGATGTTGGGGGTCGGCGCTCGTTCGGACCGAGGCGCCTAAGCCAGGAGACTCTGCCTGTTGGAGACAAAAGGGACAAGCAAGCCTGGTGGTGTGCCCTGCTGAAACTGGATCTGGAAACCCGCCCCTTGTCTTGTCCACTGCCGATGCCTTAAGTAGGTGCCTAGGTAGGTCGATGGCGTCTTGCCGGCGCAGACTCCGGGCGAACACAACGGTGATTTCACCAGCGAAAGGCGAGGGCTCCGCGATGGGTATGCGAGTCACGGCGGTCCACGTATCGGGATCGCTATCGATAGCTTCCCCAAGGTCTCCGGGGGGTCGGCAGGTCGGCAGGTCGGCCCCGGGCGTACCCATGGTCAACTTGCTATCGACTTATGTACCACGGTACCAACAGAGCTACCCGTGGATCTGGCCCCACAAGAAATTGTACAATCACGTGGCGTGCGTCTTGTGTTGTCCAGCATTCCTGGCTTTGATCCTTTGATCTGCATGGGACTATAGTATATCCCAGCATGGACTACGTGCCCGGAACTGGCCTGTGAATCTCTTGGGGGGATCCCTCTTGAATCTGTCAATAACAGAATTGGCATTCTCCAGCTCCCAGTCCAGACACCTCCATTACTGTGTCCAGCAGCTGTCAGCCTCAATTGTGTCTCTGCCAAGGCTAAACTGTTTAGCGTTAGCAGCCCATCCGCTGCGACAGGCAGGGCGACGGGCAGGGTGTAAGCGAAGGATGTCCTCTGATGCTAAACATAGGTCCGTCAGCTACTATCTGTCATTTCACATTCGTTGCTCCTCCATCGCCTGGCTTCTGTCTCCATGCTAGAGCAGACAGCGACCCACGGCCATCCAGCGGCAATGGTCCTTCACCATGCGGCTTTTGGACACAAAGACGAGGAAACTCCACGAGTTCAGCGGTCGCAAAGTGCCGTCTTATGCCATCCTGTCACATACCTGGGATGAGGACGAGGTCACTTTCGGCGACCTGCAGAGAAAGTTTCCTTGGTATAAGAGGAAGCATGGGTATGCCAAGATCAAAAATTGCTGCCGGAGAGCTCTCCAGGATGGCTTGCGCTATGTGTGGATCGACACATGCTGTATCGATAAATCAAGCAGCGCCGAGCTGTCAGAGGCCATCAACTCCATGTATCAATGGTATCAAGGCGCTGCAATATGCTATTCCTTTCTAGCCGACGTCCCTCCCGGCGACGTCCCAGACAACCCGGAATCCTGGTTTCGACGCAGCCGCTGGTTTCGACGTGGCTGGACGTTGCAAGAGCTTATCGCTCCTCGTATGGTGCTGTTCTTCAATAGCGCCTGGGCGGTCATAGGAAGTAGGAGCAGCAGCAACACCACTGACGTCGCCATCAAGGAGTCGGCCCATTTCGTAGATCTCGGTCCCACAATCGAGGCCATCACCGGAATCGGCTGGGATTATCTGATAGGCGACCCCGGCAGTCGAAGACCGATGAGGAAAGCAGCCATCGCAGAGCGCATGTCCTGGGCGTCAAACCGCGAGACCACAAGAACCGAGGACATGGCCTATTCGCTTATGGGGCTGTTTGATGTCAACATGCCTTTACTCTACGGCGAAGGACGAAAAGCCTTCGTCCGACTCCAGGACGAGATCATGAAGGCCTCGGGGGACCATACAATTCTCGCATGGGGTCTCGATATGCCATATGGCCATTTCAGCATCGGTGGTTGCTTGGCAAGCTCCCCTCAGATGTTCACGACTGCTGGACGGATTGCGCCTTCTGAAAGCACCGTCCTGGTTCCCTTTGCGCAGACCAACGTCGGCTTACGCATCGAGCTTCCCGTACGTGTAGATGAGAAGTCTGAGGCGGCCATAGCAATCTTGGACTGTGAGCATAGAGGGTCCCCCTTAGCTGTCCCTCTTCGAGCAGTCCGTAAGTACGATGGCTTTCTCTCGGCTGAGCGATACTGCCCAGTCGTTCGGGTGGCGGACGACATAATTCGTCGGGCTGCCCGTCGTACGATATACATCCAGAGCAACCCTACACGGTCCGATCTCTTTTTGTACATCGATGCTTCGGCTTTGATTAAGGCCGGTTGGCATCTATCCGAGGCGTGGCCCCCGTACGCCGCACTTGAGACTCGATCTTACGATAGTCAGATGGTTCGAAACGCTGTGGGCTTTGACACACTGCCTTATTTGCTTATATCTTTCAGTCAGAAGGATGGCCAGCGCTTTGTGGTTCGACTCAGGTTGCTTAAGGAGAGTACACCGAGGTACCGGATAGCGCCAAAGTATGCGGCGGACTTTAGTACCTTGCCTGATCTGCATACTACAAGAAAGCTAGGGACAACGCCTGCGGTAGAGTCATCGCTAATGCAATTGTCTTTACGAGACGGCTTTGGCGATTCTCAAGATTGGAAATACTCACTCGAAGTTCATCGCGCCACCATTGGGATTACCTCTTTGGATGCGCTGAGTACATCGCCGTCTTCGTCCCTAGCAAGTTTTATTGTATTGGAAGCATAGGACCACGAGGGGTTTTCTCTGGGAGTCAGTTCAAGGTCGACCTGCATTTTTAAGATTTCTTTGTTCTCATACGAGCCGCGCAGGTCGTACAGTCTTATTGATAGCAACGTAGAATGAGGTGCAAAGTGACTGTGTAGAATTATCAGAACAATTAGGATTATGATTGCCCTTCACGGTCTAGGTTGCACGGTTGTGCAAGTCTTGAAACAGAGATTCTCGGAGGATTCGGGGTATGTACTCTCAGAAACCTTTACTAGAAAAGAAGTCAAGCCATTAAGCGCAATTTAAGCGCAATGTAAGCACAATCTGAATGTCAAATCTATCTCCGAGAGACGGGAATTCGATGGTAGTAATGCAAGGGGAACTCAAGGCTGGTAGAGGGGAGAATGGTGGGAGAAAATAGCCCCAAGACTACAGGGCAGAGCAGTCGTATTTACAGGCTGCCTCTCGCTACTTGACGGTGAATTCATCTTTTTACTCTTCGTCCCTTGGGGTTGCCTCTGGCCTCCAGTGAACCAATGCCAAGCGACCTATTATATCAAATTCGTATCTGGCAGAGGTTAAGGGGTTATAACGTTGATACTTATCATTTTCCCCCCTTCAGGCACCAAATAGGGCTGATCGTGTCCTTAGGACTTTGTTACTTTGCATGAAGCGGAGACAACACGCGAATAGACATCTTGGTGGTTTTCATCCATGATACTGAAGTCAAAGGGGGCTGCATACAGTGCAAAATAACCATTCCCAACCGTGCCACATTTCGTGTCCCCCAAATACTCTTGATGAGTATTTGAGGAATATTAGTCTGTATTTTGTGGCATACCACAACATTAACACATCACCTGGGCGCTGCAGACCCCGCAAAAGCGAATGCCACACCGTCGGAGAAGCTCAAGTCGTCCGCTCACCCATCATCGGCTAAGCCCGTCATCAAGTGCTATGTCGCTTGTCAGCATAGCATCTCTGATTTGACATTGGCTAACTCTGTACGCACACAAACAAACCATTCAGTTATTGACATACTTGAAGTACTTGTCGACGCCCCGGCCGACCCCGGAATCCTTCATGCTCTGCTCAGCAGACTTGGTCCGCTCGAGCCCGCTGCCGGCACTGTCCCGCCGTTGCCGCCCGCCCCCCATGAGCGCCTCCATGATGCTGCTCCTGCGGCGGCCTTGGCGGCCCGGCGTCAGGTCCTCGAGGAACTGGCTGCCGACGCCCGTGGCATCACGGTAGCTCTCGGTAGTCGGGCTGGTGCTGGTGTTGGTGCTGCCCGTAGACGCCGTGCTCAGGTGGGATTCGCGCCTTTCACCGCCAACAGGGTTGGAGGTTCTGTTAGCAGCCGGAAGGTTCTGGGTCTGCTGCGACTTGTCCTGCGAAGCGCGGCGGTCGTAGGGTGTGAATGTGTGCTTGATGCTGTTGAGGAAAGAATGCTCCTCGTTACTTGGCGCCATATTATATTATACGAGGTGTATGTTCGTGGTATTGGTATCTTGTGTTTGTAACGGTATCTGACATAACGAGCAACTGTTCATGGTGGGCAGCTATGGGATAGAAAAACACCACGTAGAAGGTCACAAGCTGTGGCGAACATTAACCTAATTTGTGGGGAGCTTCCCCGGATCGTCATGGTGATGACATCGCCAAAGTTTCCCCGTGACAGGACCCCAAAATGGAGCGGTTGCACAGAGTTTCAGCCATTTGTAATGGTCAACCCCGATTTTCCTTTTCGGTTTAGGATCTACCCATGGCGGGCAAAGGGTCAAAGCAGGGCAGGCTTGTGGGATTAGGAACCACCTGCGGGCAAATTACCAATAAACATGATACAGGACTGGGATGCCAATATGATCGAACTTCGAACGGCTTTGGTGCCGTTCTGTCAATTATCATCCAACCGAATGGTTGGTATCTAGAGTGGAGATTTGTCTATGCAGCGCGGACTCTCTTTGAGCCGCACGTCGATCTTTTGCTCTCAAGTTCAAGCACTGAACCATTGGAACCCTGAACCCCTGAACCCCTGAACCCCTTGACCTAGCCAGGTCCCATCCCAGTTTTGTACAAGCAGTTACTGCCGCCATTGAACGCCTGGCCACTGATATCAATCCAGCCACACAGATCTGCCTGACCCAACGTGGACTTGAGAACATAGGAAATACCGAAGACATTTATGTCCTCCGCTTCTCTGGAACCGACCGACACCCCGGCCAAACCGGATGGGGCCCTTCCCACCCGCAGCAAACTCTTCCTCTCTTCTCGCCAACGCACGGGGTATCGTAGTAGAAGCAAAGCATTGGAGGACAAAGGAAACTTAGACAAAGAAAATAATTCAGGCAGCTGTAGTAGGTTTATGCTGCTACAGCTTCCTCGCCACTGCCACCTCCAAGAAGCTCCAAGACCTTGTTAACGACAGCGCTGGGGTAGCCCCGGGTAAGCATCTCGCTAACAACAGTCTTGGCACGCTCCCTTTGCTCGACTGCCAAATATGCACGAGTCATGGCCTCGTAGGTACTTGGCTCACGCTTGGCACGGCTGACATCGTTGTAGACAGCCCTGGCCTTGTCGATATTCTTCTCACTAGTCCAACCGTGAATTAGAGTGTTGGCAATATACGGAGTCAGCTCAACGTGACGACGTCGCATCTCGGTGAGGATGGCCTCTGTATCAGACACATGGTGGTTGGCGACCATAGACTCGAACAGGGCTTGGAACAGACAGGGATGCGAAGGGATGCTGGGGTCGCGCATGACAGAATCGAAGATCTTCCTGGCGCCTTCCATATCGTGCAACACGCAGCCACGAGCGTGGATGAGTGATGCGTAATGAACTGGCTCTGGTTGCTGGCCTGAAGAGCGAATCATGTCCAAGACGGCCTCGGCGGCTGTCAGGTTGACGGGCTCAAGGGTGGCGTGGGTGTCGACAAGAAGCTTGTAGGTGTGCGAAGTGGGCGCGATGTTCTTGGCCTTCATGCGCTCGTAGTACGCCAGGACCTTGGTCTTGTCTCGCTTCGTAGTGAGGAAAAACTGCATCATGCTGTTGTAAGGAGCAGGACGGGCCTTGTAGTTGGGCATCGCCTCCATCTCGTCAAATAGCTCCTCAGCAAACTTCTCATCACTGACACGGCAGAGAGCGTTCACCACGGTTCCGTATGTGACACTAGTAGGCTTGATGCCAAGAGCGCGCATCTCAGCAAAGTAGAACAGGCAGTCGTCGATACGTCGAGCCTTGCCTAGCTTGCCAATGAGTGCGTTGTACAAGAAGCTGGAAGGCTCAACACCCTCAGCCTTGGCGCGGTGGAAGATCTTGACAGCTTCGGAAGCTTCATCGAAAGTCTTGGTCGACTCCTTCAGGGTAGTGATGTAGAGGCCGAATGTGTTTGCGGACGGCGCGGCGCCAATGTCGAGAAGTTCCAGGTGGTACTGCTCAGCCAAGGTGCGGTCGCCGAGGGTAAGACAGGCACCGACCATAGCGTCCAAGATCGAGGACCAACCGTAACGAACAACGGCAAACTGCGGAAGCAGAGGTACATCGGTCCGTGCCATGGCAAGGATGTCGTGGCACAGATCCATCTTGTTCTCGCGAGCAGCGGCCGAAATCATCTTGGCATAGGTAATGTATCTTGGGTGGCGTCCAGCGCGTCGCATGTTCCTGAACCGAGCTAGAGCTTCACTGAGTCTGGGCCCCTTGCGGCCGTGGGCACCTTCCAATTCATCCGAGATGATGGACGAGCCCTTGAAGTCAGTGTTGTGCGCATAGGGGTCAAAGTTGTCCTCGTAGCTCGAGACAGTCGGCGTCGACGGGTAGGGCGATGCCGAATACGTCTGAGGAGGGTAGCTGACAGCCGACGCAACCTCACGCGGATCAGCAATCGCACGAACAGACATGAACTTCTGGATGAACTCTAGGCCTTCCTCCACTTCATCGACGAGCTGCGGGTTGGCGGCTCGGATGCGCTGGAACATCAACTCCGACTCAGCCAAGCCCTCGGCAACCTGACCTGAACCAATCATGGCCACAGCATACATGGTTGTAGGCTCGATGAACGAGGCATTGGTTTCGATCTCGGGGTTGCTAAGAATCTGCCAGTAGCGGGAAGCAGCGGCTACGTCGCCCTCGCGGATGCTGAGTGCCAATAATGCCATGGCAGGAGTGCCGATCTTTTCAAACGATGAGGGAAGACTGGCGAATGCCGCCACGGCCGTCGTCTTGTCGCCGGCATCAGCAGCAGCCGCCGCAATTCGGGCAATTGTGGAAAGCTTGCCGTTGGTCTCGATGCTCTGGGCCCATTGGAGGGCTTGTTGGAAGACACCTCTCGCCGTCAGGCCATTCACGAACCCAGAGCTGATGATGGCGTCCTTCATGTTTGCTGCGGAGGCGGTATACTCGCCGACGATCTTCTCGTAGAACTTGACTGCGCCTTCGACCTTGTCCGAAACCACGTAGGCATTGATCAGGGCAGCGTACACGCCAGCATCAAGGCGGTCATTAAGCGTGTACCTGCCGCTGTCGTGAGCAATGGCAAGCTCCTTGTACTCGTTGTAGCACTCGACAGCACTGGTCAGATCACCCGCCTTGGCAAATGCGTTGATCATGTTTGGGAAGGTCGCCGCCGAAGGGATCGCGCCACTGATCTCCATGTGGGAGAACATGCGCAGCATGTCCGAGACCCGACCCGCCTGCGCACACGCCGAGATGAGCTCATGGTAGGTCTCAGTCGAGTAGTTGGCCTTGTCGAACTCGACAGACGAGTCGAAAAGCCTAATGGCCAAGTCGAGTCTGTCGTCTTCGGACAGGATGGCGTGCTCCAGCTCGGTCGAGGCAAACATGAACTTGCCCGGCTCCTCCATTCCTCCAAAGCGTAACCGCTTCTCCTCGAGCGCCTGCTTCAGGCTGGAGACCTCGAGGCAGCGGGTGGCGAGCAGGCTGACCAGGATGTTGTATGTGTCGCTGTTGGGCAGAATCTTGCGCCTCATCATGTCGGCATACACGTCCAGGGCCTTGGACACAACCTCGACCTTGGCGACGGGGATGTGAATGGCTGCGACCAGTAGAGCATTGTAAGACTTGGCGATGGGCTTGACGTTGGCGACCAGCATGGCCTCGAAGACGGCCGGGATCTCCGCGTACCGGCCATCCTCAGAGAGCTTGGTGAGGTGGTCGGCGTACGTCTGAGATTGGGGATCGACTGGCGGAGTTGCGGTGCGGGCGATGCTGGCGGGCATGGCCGACCTCTGAGTCTCGAGTGGAGGGGTGGCAGCTCTGGACTGGACACCACTGGCGGGCGAGGGCGTCGGCGTCCTCAGGGACAAGGCCGTGCCCTCTTCCAGAGCCTCCTGCAGCCTGCGAACCTCGATCTCCTTCTCTAGGGCGGCATCGATGTGCGCCAGCGCCACGTCGGCGGCGACCGCGACGGGTCTGTCGTCCGTGGCATCCTGGGCGGCCTCGACGAGTCCAGCATCGTGCGACGCTGCTTCAGACTCGACCAGCACCGACGAGGCGCTCGGCTTCCACTCAATCGGCTTTGGGAACTGGAACTGGGTCCACTCCTTCTCGATCTCGGCTACCTCCTCCTCGTTGCCGGCAGCCTGGGCTTGGTCACGCTTCTTCTGCAGAGCCTCGAAGTATGCGTCTAGGTTGCCAAAGGAGTTGTGCCTCTCCTGGCGGTGGCCAGGAGCAGCTGCTGTCGAGGCCGAAGTCGGCACATGAAAGGCACTCTGCAGCTGCAGGCTGGTGAGGCCACCGACGCGCTGGCTGTTGCGCCGTGCCCACGAGGGGCGGTTCTGTGAGTTTAGAACATGGGGGTGGGTGGCGGCTACGACGGACTGCGCGTAGCCGTGGGTGAAGGTTTTGCTTAATCCTGTACGGATGAAGTTCTGGTACAGGGTCGAGTGGATGGGCATTTAGATGACACCAGGAGGGGAGGGTGGCTAGGAGGACGTCTTGTCAGTATGGGGCGCCTTCGGATAATGAGTCAAAAATGCTGCGAAATGTGTAGGCTTGTCCATTGCAGCCAGCTCCAATGACACCCAATTGGGAGCCAGAGGCGTGCGCAACCGGCCGGTCCTTGTGCAATGTCGCCGGGAACATGAGGCGCGAAAGCCGTCGACCAGATCAAGTCGGCCAACAGCCACACACATACACACACGATTGACACCGGGTTGCTGGGCACGCGACAGGAAACTTTGCTGTAACCCGTGCAATGACGGCAGTGATGATCTCGGGTCCACTTACATGAAAGGAGGGTAGTGTACGTAACTGCAGGTTCATTTGACAGCCTCCTCAAGCCGTCAAACAAACGCGCGATGCTGGAGAAAAAAAAGGGTAAATTGGTGGTTTGGTGATGGGAAGCAAGAATGGAGGGACAGAAATTCCTCAAATGCAGCAGGGTGGTGGTATACAGTGGATGATATGGATTGTGCGCATGCTCGGGTGTGGGTGGGTGCGGCGTGTGTGTGAGAGGGTGTCCCAGTGCGCTGGCTCCTGGCTCCTGGCTCCTGGCTCCTGGCTCCTGGCTTGCAGGCTGGCTGGCTCTCGCTCACTTCTCGCTCCCGACACCTCTACGGCCGATGGGTGGGATGTGGGACGCACGCGATGGGGCGTCGAGTTTGCGTCCGTGATTCAATTGTTTCCCCCCCCCGTCAGATTATCGCATCTGGACCCCTGCCCGTTGTAATTTAGGCACTGTACTATGGCGTCCGGCCTATGTTGTCACTTTTCCAGCCAGCCAGTGCCTGTCTCGCGGTGGCTGTAACTCGCTAGCCTGGCCTTGGACGGAGCCGGTTTCCAGCTGGTTCGGTGGGGTTGGCTGCACTTCTGGCGGATGCCATGGGTGGACTCGGGAAGTCTGTTGTAGTGGCGCTGATCCCCCCTTCCCGCCTCTTTGCGGGCCTGTGACTCAGGCGACGAGGCACGCGCAGAGGAAGATGGTGACTGTTGACGGTGACAGTACTGTGCACCGTATATTCAGTGGCATACAGAAGTCATCGCGAGTAATGGCGTGGCACTGGAATGGCGGCACGCCGGTGGGAAATAATTCGCAGCCCGCAATCTCTTCTTCCCGTGTACTATGTAGTATGTAACTATATCATCAGAGCGAATCACTGCCCGACTTACAGTGTCTAGACTACCTATCTGCTCAGCTGGGCAGTAGCAAGCTTTGTGCTTACACTGTCCTGTATTCTTCTGCGTGTTATACGTACTGTATCAATAATATGACCTCTGCACACATTAACTGCGCACGTAGATCCCACTAGACAGCCCGGAAGACTCCCCTAGTACCCACGTAGCATCCCTTTTGCTGCTTGCATGTGGTTACCAGCAGGGATAGACCAACACTGATCTTAGGCCACGTCGCCATTCGCTTCCTCAGGCTTCTCTGTCCATGACGAACACGAAACCTGCCTGCCCGTATGCACAGCTTTGCGCGGCAACCTGTCCGCCTAGCTTGTTAGGGCTGCAGCGTCCGGCAGTCTCGGACGAGCGCTGGCCTATGCAAAAGCCAAGACGAAGAGAACAAACCGGACCCGGAAGGATTTTTGGCGTGTGGGGATGGGCCAGACCCTTGATTGGATCGACGCCGGTGACGGGCCAATGGGAACGCGTGGCATCCCCGTCGCGGGAAGAACCCGGAAGAGCCATCCCAGATGGTCGGGTGGATAGGATAAGCTATGCTATGTCACATGGGAGGCCTTCTGAGTGTGTGCATCATCGTACATGTCTTGGACTGAAAAAGATTCTTGGGGGGATAGCTCTGGAGAACTGCTGGACCAGAGTATCGCAATAGAGCACAGCATCACGATCAAGTGCACGAAGACTGTTGGTTATACTCTTACACTGGAGTCGTCTTTGGATTTTATCATAGAGACACCAGACTCAAACCCCCTTGTAGGGAGATTTGCTCCTAATCTACCAAGGTTCATGCGCAGGGGTTGAAATTTTCTGGAACACCAGAAAGAAGACACACCTCTCCGACCCCCTGACCATTGTGCGATGCTGTGTTGGCCGATGCCCCACAGGCTAACAAAGCCGCAGAATAGGGAATCTTAGGGGTCCTGGAGGGGCTTTCCAGGCACTGTACTCGTAGCTCTTATGCTGAGCAGAATCCGTGTGCGCCACGAAGACAGAGTGAGTTGGCGAGAGACACCATCAAAACAATGGTTGAAGTCGTGCCTATTCCCGTGGTGGACTTGACCATGCACTTACACCTGCATTAACGCAAATCTTGCCGTCCCTAGGCCACAGTAAGCTCACATACGACCGCGTGACCGTTTCCAAACGAAAATTGTCCGCGTAATTTGGGCACGCTAATCCGCACCGACCGGCCTGACGGTTCCTCCGGCTTACAGGCATCTCACGAGTTTTACGGTCGGACATTTGATGGTTTCGTCCGGCTTCCTAACCCCGAACCCCGTCGGAGAGGAAATAGCAGGTTCGGCTCCGCGAATTATCCTTGCTGCCATTCGGTCGGATCAGATAAGGTCGGATCGTCGCTCAGTAATCGTCATCCATCTGGCGTTGAGTCATTACATATCCACCACAAACAAAGTGACCTAGATACTATAGTATGCATCGAACCTCCCGAAGCTGAGCAGAGCTGAGAGCTGAAGACCGGCTGCCAACAGTGGAAGATTGAATACTTTCAAAGACACAATTGAATGGTATAGTATGACGGCAGAACAGTTTCTATCTGCTGGACGCCTGGTTGGCCATTTAATTAGGTAGCGAAGGATGCATTGCCGCAAGTAGACAGCCTTCCGTGTTGGGATATCGACGACAAGTTCATTTCTTGGAGAAGAATGACATGATGTTTCCCTGGCCTTTCGCCCCTGTTTTCTTGCCCTTTGCGGCCGGAGCCGACTTCTCAACCTTCTCAACCTTTGCCTTGACTGGCGGGGGAGCCTCGTCCTCCGAAAAGGACTCCCAGCCTTGCTCCTGTATCGTGACTGTGCAGTGTTAGGAGATATCATATGTCGAGTGATCAAGGCCAGCTTACCCAAGTATCCTTGGTCGTCCATGATCTGCTTCTTCTTGGTGACTCTTCTTCGGCCACGTTTCCGGCCATCACCAGTGCTTGATATTATCTCTGCCGGGCCGTCCTCGGCTTTTGGCTCCGGTTCGACCGCCACTGGCTCCTCCTCTTGCTCCTCCTGCTCCTCCTGCTCCTCCTCCTTTTCTGACTCCTCTCCCTCCATAGAATCCTCTACTGGGGTGTCAGGTTTTGACTCAGGCTCCTCGTCTTCGCTCTCTTCCATCATACGACGAAGCTCGGCCTGTCGGCTCTTCCTCGCCTTGCCGGCCTCGGGGTCAGGCTTGACATCTGGCATCTCGGAATCATCCTCGCCCTCGTCAGACAAGGCTGCGCTCGCCTCGGCGGCGGCAGATGATGTGGTGGAAGTTGTTTTGGAAGCGGGTGCCCTGGGCTTTGCCGCCGCTTTGGCAAACATCTGACTGATGCCGCCTGACGAACCCTGTCGCTTGAGAGACGGAGCAGCTGAGCTCTTCTTGGCAGCCGTAGTTGCAGGGGCCTTGCCCTCTTTCGCCGGTACTGCATTGGTCTCTTCTTTGATAGGCTGCTTTGCCTCCTGCTTGACTTGCGGCTTCGGCTCAACCTTGACAGCCGGTGCAGCCTGGGTAGCTGGCGCTGCCGCCTTGGTCACACCGGCCTTGCGCTCTCTCTTACGCACGCCGGGGTTTGCAATGGACCCATAAGCCTTTCCAGTGCTGGGCGACTGGTCTGCCATTGACATCTTCGTCACAGCCTGGGCCGTGTCTATCAGAAGCTGTAGATCCTTGAGCGGGTGGGGTGCCAGGCTGTAGACGTGTATCGAGGTGACCTGTTCATACTGCTGGACAACGTCTGGTTCCTGATAAGTGTCACATCGACTGAGGCTTTTGACATGCGCCCTTACCTTGAAGTTGATCCTCCTTGGCCAGGGTCAACGTGTGAATAGGGACCTCATCCGAGAAAGACGTTCCAAAGCCGGATTCGGACTGGGAATCAGTCATCTCCACGTCACCATCCGGCTCCTCGGTCTTTCTGCGAGTACCATAGACCAGGTAGGTCGCGTGAAGCGTGCCTGGGCGTTTATCATTCTGCCATTTATGAAATTCGTAGAGCATCCTGTGTGGCAGCTCAGTTAGGTCATCCCCAAATATGGCCAGGCCGCAGCAGCAACTTACTCCTTGGCAGTGTTCACATGGATTTTTAACGCCCGACTCAAGAGCCTGTACGTGACCTGGACAAGGACGTATTAGTGATGTGTGGAATGTTGGGCACGGGAACGAAGTGTGTCGACGAGCATGGCTGGATACTCACCACCTTGTCCTCAGTTAGGATTTGTTGAGCTAGGTAGTTGCGACATTCGTCCATTTCGATCTAAGATGGCTCTCCCAAAGTGAGATTCGACTTTGTTTGGCAGGGCGGATCAGAAAGGGCAAACCTCTCAAGGGTGACCGAGTAACAGGTATTGGAGTGTGTCGCCTTCTTTCTGATGGGGAAACGGGACGAGACTAGGATGAGACGCGACGCGGGCCTCGCGATCTCACGTGGGGCGATGATCCTTTGTATCTCTAGTGTCCCAAAATGGGACCAGCGCTTCAAGGCCTCTATAGCCCCTGGTAGAAGTTCGGAAGGCTGGCCCCGAGTGCTAACGAACGGGCACCCAATGACAGGGGGCTTAATTGGCAGTCGCGTCTCCAAGCGCGATGGTCTGGTCTGGTCTGGTTTGGTTATGTAACCGTAAGAGCCTGGATGATCGATCTCACACTTCTCGGGGCTAAAAGCTAAGGCGACAAAGAACGGCCAGAACTCCTGGCGAGGTCAGGCAGCGGTTCCGAATAAGACAGACAAGGCGCCTGTGTATTCCTCGGGGATTTCGTCCTGGACGCTGCTCTCAGATCTCGCCACGCCGCGACAGACCTGCACATGCCACCCGTAGCGAGTCGGCCCCAGTTTAAACACCACGATGAACGACCAGGACTCCTTCGAGGTCAGCGACTCGACCGACTGGCTTTCGACGCCGCTCTCGGGCCTCACAGCCGTCGAGTCCGCCCTCCGGTGTCAGGTCTGCAAGGACTTCTACAAGACGCCCATGCTGACGTCCTGCAACCACACTTTCTGCTCGCTGTGCATCCGTCGTGCCCTGTCTAACGACGGCAAATGCCCGCTTTGCCGCGCGAACGAGCAGGAGATGAAGCTGAGGAGCAACTGGTCCATGGAAGAGGTGGTGGGCGCGTTCGTGAAGACGAGACCGGCCGTCCTAGACCACGCGCGCAAACCGCCGACAGTAGTGGTGCAAAGCGTCGAGTCTCCCAAGCGCAGACTGGACGCAGACGCAGACGGAGCACAAGAGCCCAGAGAGTCGAAGCGCTTGAGGAGCTCGACACGGCTAAGCGCATCCAGAGGAGCTGCGGCGACGGCCGAGATGGCCAGACTCGAGGCCGACATAGCGGTGCCTGCTGACCCAGAGCAAGAGATGGACTATGACGACGGTCTGGTCGCTTGTCCGATATGCCTGATGCGAATGAGGGAGGCTCAGGTCGACGGCCACATAGACAAATCGTGTCCGGGCTCGCCCGTACCGGAGTCGCAACGTCGCCCCCGTTCTACTCCTAGAAATACAGCTGCCGGCCACAACGGCTTCCAGGCGTCCTCGTCCGCCTCTTTATCATCAATGCAAACCCCTTTAAAGAGACCCGATCGCCTTCCTGCTATGAACTATTCCATGCTCAAGGAACCGCAACTGCGGAAGAAGCTCGCGGAGCTGGGGGTGTCGACCGCTGGAGACAGACGGATGCTCGAGAGGCGGCACAAGGAGTGGATGACGATATGGAACGCCAATTGCGACTCATTACATCCGCGGAAGAAGGGCGAGCTGCTTCATGATCTAGACGTGTGGGAGAAGACCCTCGGCACACGCGCACCCCAGAGCTCCCGGTCCATTAACCTGGGAACGCACATCAAGGATAAGGACTTTGATCAGCAGGCTTGGTCGACGAAGCATGATGCCTCCTTCAAGGATCTCATTGCCAACGCGAGGAGGAACGTGGCCGATGCCAAGAAGAAGGCAAAGGCTGACAGCGCAACATCGACGGACGCAGCGACGTCCAACCCCGATAGCGAGATAGTCACGCCGAATGTATCTCATCCAACACCGGCGCCGCCGCACACGACGGTGGTTGAAGATGCACCTTACGTGGACGGGATACGGTCTCCTGACGTCCTTGGCCGGCTGGAGGAGTCTGGTACGGGATATCTTCATGATAGTGACAACAACGGCGACGATAATAGTGGCGGTCCGTTTCCTCAACCACCTTTCGTCTATCCGCCTTGACGACCTGCCGAGCGTGCCGACAACGCGTGCTCTGACAAGGAGCTCGAGTACCCTGCAACAGGCGGTGTTCGAAGGGGGTGAGAAACCTCGAATCAGGAAATGGCGGCTCCGATAGTCTTGCCCAAGCGCCGGCATTGCCAAAGTCGGGTGAGCGACCAGTAAACACAGCCCCCAGGATGATTCCTTCGGCACTCGATGGGATGGCAGAGCAATTCGGGCAGCATAGCAGGAGGGGACGCTTCCACCACAATAATCAATACAGAAATGCCCCTGAGCCCCGTTGGCTACAGATTGCGTTGAGCATGGCCACTTGTTGTACAAGAACTCTTAAAATGTTGCATTGATCTAGATATCGTGATTTCCCCCAGATGCCCGTTGTGTAGCAGCATAGCACTGCATCGGTCCAGCCCCTATTGTGGCTGACCTAGAACCCTACTATGTACGCTGGTATGGTAAACTACTCAGCGGCAAGTCGGATCGGCTCTCTGTCCTCTATTGACATACCCTCCAGCTCGCCGGCCGCTGCCGTCACGGGTGTGGGCGGGTTCTTCTCCCTGTCCAGTGCCGTTGTTGTCTCTTCTTCCTTGGCCTCCTCCGGCTTGGCGACCGGACCCAGTTTCTCCAGCTCGGCCAGCCGCCTCCTCGTCTCCTCGGCCTCCTTCTCCTGCTGTGCCTCCCGCTTCTTCCTCTCGATCGCCTCCTCCTTGGCCCGCTCTTCGGCCAACATGGCTTCGAACTCCTCGTCGACCTCGGCCTCATCCACGGTGGCTGCGGGGCCGGCCTCGGCGATGATGTTGCCCACCTCGTCGACCTCGCCCATCTGCTCACGCAGGTTCTCCAGCACGCTGTCCACCTTGTCCGCGCCGCCGACAGCTGCGTTGAGGTTCTTCAGGGCGACCGTGCTGGACTGCATCACCTTGACCAAGGCCACGTTATCCGCAGCCTGCTCGATCTTGGCAGCGACCTCCTCGAGTTGGCCCAGCGTGGCGAAGCGTCTCGACAGGTTGGTCTCGGCCAGCCTCTTGGACTTGAGCGCTGCCCGCGCCGAGACCGTGTTCTTCCTCCTGACAGCTTCCTGTGCAGCCGCGTTCAGCTCGTCGATGCGCTGGGTCAGCGCGTCTGTCTGCTTCGTCAAGTCCTCCATCAGCTCCTTCAGGCTCCCGATCGCGCGGTCCTCCTCCGTGATGATGGTATCCTGCTCGTCGGTATCCGAACCTCGTCCCCGTATCTTGATTGTCTGCCCATCGGTCGCGAGGATGCCCTTGTCCCTGCTGAGAAATTTGACCAAGACGTCAAAATCAGAGTCTGATAGTGTCTGCCCTTGCGTCTCCAGTAGCCCTTTCTCAAACGTCCGCCGAAAGTGCGCTCGAGAGAATGCGCGCCCAAACCTGCCAGCTCGGTCGCTTGCCGCGCTGCTGAACCTCTTCGCTCCGGTCTCTAGATTTGAGAGTACTGCGAACTGTCCCTTGGGTATCTTTCCATCAGCGCCGGGTGCGCCGACCAGCCCGGCCTTCCTCAGTCCCCACTTGGCCACATTCCAGCCCAGGGAGCCCCAGCTCTTGTAGTAGACGGTCTCCTTCGAGTCTAGAAATTGCTTCTGCGGGATCATCTCGCCGTTGGCCACGGCCTCGGCCAGCACGGTGCCCAGGGCCAGAGGTTGGCCGAGGGATTTGGTCTCGAGGGCGTGGAGCATGGAGTCGTCGAGCTCCAGCACGAAGTGTGAGCGTTGGGTTGAGCGCGAGGGGACATGGCCTGCTAGAAGAGCGGACGAGAGACCTCGCTTCCATGCATCGACATTTGCTGCGTAGCCGTCCGGGTTGAGGGTCCGTTGCGGCGTGAAGTCCGAGTAGAGCGCGGGTAGTCGGGCCCTGGGCGTCCCTTGTTAGCAAATACGGCACCGCGAGGGGTAGGATACATCTCTGGGAAACACCAACTTTCGGAAGTCCCCTTCATTTTGCAGGAGGTAGTCCAGGAGTTCGCCCATGCTGAGCCTGACGGGGGACGGAATGGAGGTGTCTTGCGTGGATGCCGCTGTCCCGCGGCGCGAATGTGGGGGCCGGTTCGGAAAGCCTTCCAAACGGCTAGATCGAGACCCTGGAGGGCTCTGCGGAGGCGTGTTAGAGTGACGGAAAGAGGACTCGGTCGGACAGCCAGTCCGAGGTCGTGATGGTTTGGTGGAGGTCGGATGCGAGATGCTGCAAGATCGTGTTTACAGGGGACTGCAGGAGCTTATCGGCGCGACGTCACTGCGCAGAGACGCGATTAGGCCGCCCTTGTCGTGGCCGGGGCATTTAGGTGGGGTGTGCTCCTCTGAAAGCATACCTAACTTCGGTGCCTACATAGTAAGTACCTAGGTAGCTGTCCACTGGAGGCAGCCTGGCTCAGGGCCAAATGGCACCAAGTCAAGCTAGCGAGGTCAAGGTGGTATTCAGTCCTATACGAGACGTCTACACAACTACCTAACTGGCATATACCTATAGCGCACCCGCGCCAGGCGCCCCTTCTTTGAACAGCTTGAGAATATGTCAGGTACAAACTTCTGGCCGCATCATCCTGCCGTCGTTCGCCCCCAAGTTTGGCCCAAGTTTTGGCTTGCGACCCCCGATCTCAATCTGCTCGGTCACAACCGCCTTTGCGCCTTCTGAAGGTGTGTCTATGTGTTCACACAAGATCTCGGAACTCCGATGCTCGACAACGGTGACTCGAATGCTTGCGTGCGGTAGGGCCAGCTCGTCATGCACATGGGTAGCTAGAGAAACCAGTAGTTTTGTCCCACTACATGCAGGTTGCTGACAGAATTACTTACCATCGTACCACGTCTATGTTGAGCTGCAACCTGGGTACCGGAGCCCGACGTGGTTATTGCAATAGCAATTGCTTCTCTCTTTGGGGCCATGCCGCCCTTCCCCGAGACCCAAAGATGACGCCAGCTTTGTCCAGGTATCAACGTGATGACTTGGGCCAACCTTGTCAGACGTTTGATGCCTTCTCTGGACGGCAGTAACGTTAACATGATGAATACGAGAATGATATGATGACCAGGTTTTGTTGTGGCGAATTGCATGAATCCTAGTCAAGAGTATAAAAGAGGGATTACCCGCTCGCTTGTCGAGCATCTTATAATTGTTGTCTAGACAGACTTCGAACCTCATCAACTCTCTCTCCATACCTTAAGAGTTTCTAAACATAACCTCATAGAAATCCGCAGAATTCGCAATGCTTTTGACTCGTGTCGCGGGTGCCTCTGCCCTTTTCATGAGCATTGTCACCGCATCGCCAATTGAGAAGCGTGACTTCGACGCTCAGCTGACTTTCTTCAAGGTCAACGGGGGTTCTTACACCGTGAGCGTGCCGGCCGACTCAGCTCGCGCCGAGGTTGTCAAGATCAGTACGTTATCCAGCTCCAATTCTGAGAAATACGCCAGTATTTCATTTCCTTACTGTCACACATTCTAAGCAGCTCGACTGATTCATGACGCTTCTACCAGCTGAGCCGGAAGAGGTTGCCGTTGTTTCTAGCGCTGGCGGTGCCACGTGCTCCATCAAAGGAGTCAAAGGGGTTGATGTTGTCATTGTTGGACAGAGGGTAAGCCGTTGAGGTGCCCAGATGTGGTCGCTTCTGTACTAACAGCATTGCAGTCCACGCAGATCCTACCTGCGCAGCCGATCGACACAGTGTACTGCTTGCAACTTTAAGCTCTCAGCACCAGTCAAACGGAGAAAGGGCATACTGCTCATAAAATAGGATGAGTGTATTATTAAGTTGGAACTTTGTTCTTAGGACGACATGTATGGACTCGATATACACCATGATGCTATTTATCTGTTCTACCTCTACATTCAATACATGTCTGGATCCACGGATTGTCGGAGACCAACCTCCAGTCTCTGATGCGACTCAGGAACGTTCTAAGATATAGGCAATCATAGGTTGGTTATCAATCACAAATTTGATTTGCAATATCTACGTGCCGGTGGCGGGTAAAATATAGATACAACAAAACAATTCTTCAAGACATTGCTTCCTTACACATGGAGCACTCTTTGTACTCTGTCTCGTAAGACACCAGCAAGATCTCAAGGCCTTAGTATAGAGTGTTCATTTCAGGCAATGAGAGCCTAGGGCCTCCTGCATGGTTCTAACTTCATTTGGCTCCGGAAACCTTAAAAGCATGGTTTCCATCGAGGGGTCCCTAATTTGTTGCACTACTTAAACCATCGCTACCTTCGCCAGACAACTCATTTTTTCAGTAGTATCCTCCCTCCCCTGGGCATAGCTGCCAATCTAAGTGATCACAGTCCCGAGCAACACAAAATGTCTTTGCAGCAGACACTCTCGCAACCTTTGGTTGTGGATCCCATCGACGACCATGCACACACCGTGGTCTTTCTCCACAGATTCCCTGCAGAAACCACAGACGATCAACTTCATGCCAAGGTGTTGTCTAAGAAAGTCACAAGCAACGGCAAAACTCTTCAAGAGCAGTTTCCGGGCATCCGATGGGTGTTCCCATATGCCAAACTGCACACTACAGACAAGACAGGAGGACCAACGAGCGATCACTGGAGCAAGCTTTCGGCAGAAGACATCGCTAATCTTAATCTGGAAGACAATGAGATGCCGTACATCACCAAAATTGTGTTGAGAGAAGCAAAATTGGCTGGAAATCTCAATCGAGTTATCGTTGGTGGCCAGGGCGAGACCGCTATAGCAGCCCATGGTGCCATCACCAGCTTCCCAGAGATGCCGGATGGCCTCAGTGCCCAATCTCTGGATGGCCAGAGGTTCATCGATTCAGCACTCCACTCCTCTTCGACCGAATTATCCCAGCTAAGACTCGGTGGGTTCGTTGGCATGCACGGCCAGGGTGATGAAGCCACCCGAGACCAGCGCACACTCTGGCTCATGTCCAAGTTTGCCAACAAACAGAAGATCAACGACACAATTGTCTTGAATACTCCTCATGAATTCATACATGGCGGCTTCAAGAATCCGAACTCACCTGGAGATGGAACTAGAATAGATGACTTTGCTGCATTCTTAAGCTCCATCGGAGTTCCTAGGACCGAAAAGTCTCCGACCGTTCATCGCAAGGTCGAGCGCAAGATTGGACCTCTCTCGGCAGCGGATACTCTGGACTCTCAAAGCGCCGAGGTGGCCGCCAGGCTCAAGCACGAGCTCACCGAGCAAGAGAAGCACCAACAAAGGCTCAAGAAACAGAAGCAGGCCGATAGCGAGGCTCGCGAGCGTGTACGCCAGAAAATAGAAGACGACAAGCTGGATCGTAAAGATCGAGAGGAGCGTCAGCGATTGAACCGAGGCCACATTACTAGCAAGAAAGATGAAGACCCCAAGGCGATGGCTGACCAGCGGAATTACTCCGATTATTATGCGGAACTTGTCAAGAAAAAAAAGGCTGCAGAGGATGCGATCACCAAAGAGACACAGGAGCGCACGCGAAGATACATTGAGGAAGACAAAATTGAACGCAAAGAGCGCCAAGAACGCGAGCGTGCCAATCGCCTGGCAGCCGAAGCATCCCAAGCCAGTGATACATCACAAGTACCGACTGAGCGCCCTGCCACAGTCCCTCAACCCGCTAACGACGGGCACAATACCAGGAAGCGCCGGAAGACAGCTAAGCGCTATCGAGGCCAAGGATTGCGGCTAGGTGGCAGTGGCGAACAGGTATCTCTGAACCAAGGCGAGATGAGTGAGACTCGCATGAGAGCACTGGGTCTTCTCGATAACGAGAGCTCCGATCATGATGAAAACGGGAAATAGTTTACTGGTGAAACTTATCCATAAGTTGGACTGCATCTGGTAATTCGAAAGCAGTAATAAGTTGACAACTTTTGCTGAATGAACTTTCTCTCATGCTAGTACAGAAATCACGCGCTATGGTGTGGCTGTGACTATTCGCTCTGTTTCTATTTGTTTCGTACCAGGCCATATGTCACTGCTGATGAATTAACGCTCTTGCTGTCCCTGATCCATGGTTCTGCAACATTTCACCCGTGATACATGTTTCAGATCATACTACCGATCACTTGAGATCGAACCCACGTTCTTGTAAGACTTGATTCCAGATATGGCGGCCGCTCAGAGATTCTACTGTTGCAACTCTCCGGGCACAGCGCTCCGTCCAAGACGGTATACCCTCACGCTTCTGTCCAGAATTGAAGCTTGCAAGAGCATTATCGTATGATTTGAAGTTATTCGCCTGTTTCCCGGAATCGTCGACCCAGGTTTCTCTGTGCAGCACCTCGCCCAAACCCAGCCGAGGCTTGACAGAAGCGGTATCAGCTGGATCAGGCCGACCAATTGCGAGTCCAAAGAGGCCAATGACACGATCCGGGAAGTGAAACAACTCAGCGACTTCCCGCGGATTATTGCGCAGAGCGCCCACATAACAAATACCCAAGCCCAGAGACTCGGCCGCAATCGACACATTCTGCGCGGCTAGGGAGGCATCGATCGACGCCATCAAAAACATTTCAGTATATTCCAGGCCCACGCCGGCGGTTTGACGCTGTTGGGATACTCTTGTAAGGCGGCTCAGATCGGCGCAGAAGACAAGGAACAGCGGAGCTTGGCGAATGAAGTTCTGATCACCGCACAAGAATGCGGCCTTGTCCTTTCGTGAAGGGTCCTCTACAGACAGCACGCTCCATGTCTGCAAATTGGACGAGGTTGCTGCACTTTGGCCCGCAGCTACTAGAATCTCAAGTGTTCCCGGCTCCAACGCTTGAGGGATAAAGTTCCGCACTGACTTATGTTGGAGAAGAGTTTCCAGAGTCGGGTTGGCTGCACCGGAACCATGAGTCTCGTCGCAGCCATATCGCGCTTTGAGGAGGTCCGAAATGCTTGCCATGTTCGTCGGTCTAAATCGTTAAGTATGTCAAACACAAGACATTGGTATTTCTACCTTATCTCAGCAATATAGTCCACAATAGTCCTCATCACGTCATGCGGACTACAAGTTGTTCAATAATACATGACAGCTGGCAGGCACTTGGCCATTCTAGTCAGGCCCGCCAGGCGTAACAGCTGCTCCCATCGTCAGCAACTAGGTGGCCACCAGGCTATGCGAACCAGGAAGAATGGACTTCGTTGATAGTTGGATCAGCTAACTATCGGTTTTTGAGTGTATATGGTGTCGAAAGGTATCATTTTGATTATCTACACAAGTACTAGCCATGTACAGCCCATGCATTCAAACTGTTAACGATAGCCGCAATTACCTCAGGTTTTGGTCGCTGGCTAAACCTTGGTGGATCAGGATTTTGTTGGGGTTTAATAGTATTAAGCTATACCATGGTGGCTCAATGCACTGCATACTGTGGGTCAGGAGCGTCATATGCTCATGCAATCGCGATGAGAGTCTTGTAATGCTTCATTATGTAGAATTGTTCATCACGCCACACGAGTGTGAGGTATTGATAGTGGGTACTGTAGTGGCTGCAGCAATGCTAGGTCTTGTGATGAAATGGATATCATTCGAAATATCAAGGTTATAAGAGTGAGACCTGATACTCAGGCAACCCGGTTGTTATATCTTGGTCCAGCCTCGCTTCTTGTCCTTCATACTGTCGCTACGGACTCGGGTATGCACTCCGGGATGGCTCTTTGTCGACTCAAGTGGGGCCGACCCCTCGTCATCATAGAAGTAGTTCATGTTTGTTGGCGGGCTCTCCAGAGGCTTCAATTCAGTCTGGCTGCCAGGTCTTGGTAGACTGTTTGAACTGGTCTGCACCTTCGACTCTTCATCCGTACGACGATACTCATGTTCCACACTGACCTCTTGCGTCACAAAGATGGCTCCGAGATACGGCGATAGCACTGGCCAAAATATGGGGACAGAGGCGCAGATACTTGCACAATCGCACTCAAGGACAGCGAGGATCAGAGATATCGGTCCATACCACGTCGGGTCATGGGTCGGATAACGGCCGGCCTTGTGCTCTACTAGAGTCTGGAGGCGCCAAATCGAGAGAAAGGTTACTCTGCCTAAGCATTAGCCTCGACTGTCGGAAAGTATTCCAGCGTATCCAGTACTTACAGAGCTCCCATCAACAACAAGGCGAGAAGGCCGATGCGCATCTTGAGCGTCATGCATGGCTTGAAATAAAGGTGGAATGGTATTGTGAGGATGACAATGTCGAACACCATGTTCAGAGCCGTATGGCTGTAGAATGTTCCCATCAATTCCTCCGTTGACCAAGCCCCATACGCCCAACACTTGGCATCTGGAGGCGAGTACCAATAGTCCGCAACGGGCCAACAAGGGATAAATGCCAGCATCGTGTATGCCAGACCCCATAGTGAGACCAAAACAATTGTCACTTTGGACATACGATGAGGCCAAGTACCTTTCTCAAAAACACGGAGGTACTGGCACAGTAGAGACAATTTGATGAAAGTCGCCGCGAGGTTCAAGCTCGCGTTGAAAATGTAGAATGACACCAGGTATCTACCGGCTTGTCCAACGGTCAAATATAGCAAATGCTGACCGGCTCCGAAGGGTATGGCTTAGGTCATGTTAGTGAGGAATTACTCTACAGTATGTGCAAGTTGACTTACATATGAGAAGTGCGACTGATCCCAGCGTGCCAGTGATCTATTTGTCAATAGTGAGTCTTGTTCATAGAAGATCTAATCCGTGTGGTTTCTGCTGTACATACCAGGTAGAGAACTACAAATAGGTCATCCCACCAGGGAGACCGGACAATTCGGAACCGTACCCACAATCTAAAGCAAACAAATGACCACGATAGGATCTGGAGTAACTCATTCCAAAATCAGCGCTCTTGTCGAGATATCAGGGTGAGCTGTCTGCGACGAACCAAAAAAGTAATGGTCAGTCCCATGATTGTGGGCTTCTTGTTTGACCAGGGGATTGGATCGTTCAGGTTGTCATAGTCGCTCGGGTCCAGGATGTCCAGCATCGGCTCATTCTCATCGTATCCAGACGTAGCAGCCATGATCGCAGGCCGAGGGGCGACGTCGAGCCGCAACTATTCGAATGGAAGTTGACGCAGTCCTCAGGTCGAAGGACCATCAACTTCCGTATATGTAGGAGATGCATCGTCTTTTGAACTGATCGTGCCCGTTGCCGGCTGGTACTGGCAGCTGAGGGCCTATTTCCTGAAGAAGCATTGCAGACCGATGTTCCTGGTCCATCACGTTGCAGCTAGATCTCAACAGGCCGTGGAAGGCCGTGCTTGTTGACGCCTGCAGCGACGATGCCAGGGTTGATAGGCGTGGCAGGCTTGAAACATGCCCATATCCCGGCAAGTCGCTGCATCCACCTGCCACGGCTTTTTAGCCGACTCACGATAACCGGCAGTGGGTGTCGACCCTAGCGACCAGATGTGTGGTTGCAAGACGCCAAGACCAGGACAGGTCTGTGCCAAGTGGGAGCCCAATGACACGAGGGCGTGGATGTGGGTGATTGAATCGAAGTGGTATTCTTGCGGGGGCCCAAACGTTAGAGTAGCCAATAACAGCACACAATACTTGAGCACGAACCCCTAGCCAACGTAATCAACTAACCACCCCTGCAAAGATAGGCATATTGGACCACAAGCTTGGTGATTCCGGCCTTGTGTCTCCCACCATCACCAGAAGCCTGACGACAATCACGCTGCTCTATTACTCTACGAATCTGCATCTACTTCTGTCGTCGTTATATGAGAGAAATAGCCGGGAAAATAAATATTAAAAATGAAATAAGATAACATAAATAAAAATAAAAAAAAACAGCTCGTCTTTCGTGTGCACTTGAGCAACTCAAAACCTTTCATCCATTGCCCTCACGAGGGACCATCTGTTCCACTATGCTTTGACCCATGACAGGGGTTCAGCTTACCCGCTCACTCCTAGTTCACTCGTGTGCCCCGGTGCTTTGGGATGACAAGCACAAGCAGGCGGGTGATTGACAGAGCTTGTCGCGGCTAACACGAAAAGGGGTTTACTCCACTCCACTTTCCTGGCAAAATAATCCAGAGAAATGTCTACGAACAATATACTATACTGCACTTGCTATGTAAAGAGTGTACTCACGGACTATGAGAAATGACCCGTGAGAGCCTTATTGGTACATTCACAATACTCTGCTATTGTATCTTACTGCCAGCGAAGGTATCAAGGGGTTTCAGCCCATGAATCCAACTAGTTACGGTAACGCTGCCAGATGGGTCGTGTCGCCAGGGAAAATCTATATCCGGAACTAGGATTACTAGACTACGGGCTGGAAAAAGGCATCGTTTTGAGTGACAACTTATAGAGTAATAATCAGTGCCTGCCCAACGAATTTTTCTTTTTCTGGAGAGAGGGCGGGTGTGCTGGGTAGAGTTGAGGTATTCTGGTGATGAGGTGAGGCTACTTGCCCTCTTTTATTGTCTTAATGATGCCTGCGATAGCGCAAATGTTAGGTTTTGAAAGACTTGCATCGCATCCAGTAGTGCCTCTAGAGTTGGGTGCTCGTACTATAGGCCTTCCAGACATCGAAAAGAAGGTTGGTATGCATATGGACTGACATGTGGACACTCTACCCCGCAAAAGAACAAATGTCTCGAAGTGGCTCACACTTGGTATCCGATCGCGCAGCAAGCCATGGCTCTGCCTCACTAGTTTTCTATGTGCACTACCGACTTCTTATAATCTAAAACATCTGTCCGCAGGTCAGTGCGTACGTCAAAGCACAGGCGTGGCAAAAGCTGAGAGACGTCGGCTGCAGATGGTGGTTGACAGGCTGGTATGTCCTTAGCTGCTATGTGACGTGCTTCTCCACCCCTATGTTGATGTAACATGATGTAGGTCGCCCACCTTACCATCAACTAGAGTGAGATTTGGCAAGTTATGTGGGCGAGGACCGACCCAAAGCGTTTGGACCCAGCATAGCTGAATGCTCATTCGCTCTAAGCCGTGCTTCAGATAAAATGCTGAAGGCCCGGCATCTCGAGGAAGGCCTGCGCTATGTTAATGCCCTGTTTCTCTTCTGCATCAGCAGCGGCATCGTTGCCGTTGAAGTCAGCTCGTAGACCCGGGGTGTATGACATTTTGGCCAATATGAGGCTTTCATGGGAAGCTAAAAATAACCACTTACTTCGGGCTGAATCTCACCCCTACAGAGTTTACAGCTAATAGACTTGTATACGTTAGGGACAAGTGGACAAGGATAGAACAGGCTTGTAATGATTACTCAAGTAGCCTTAAAGCAAAGTCACATGAGCAAGATTTACGAAAGCCTTGCATTGCAAGCAACCAGATTATCTGAGACGGGTATTTGCTTTTTTGGAACTCATAATTTCTTCGCCGGCTGTGCGAGGTGGAATAACGGCCCCGTATTGAACTGTGATGCATGTGTTGAAGCCGTGTCAATGGTGCGTAGTTCTCTAGCAGCCCGGAGGGGCCTCGATTTCTTGTGGAATAGGATCTGGAGCCCGTTCGGACGCAACTCTTTCGAATATCTCAGCTCGAATATCCTGTAGCTGATCATTCGCGTGTCTCAGTTCTCTTGCCTTGCCATCCAGTGTCATCTTTGCCTCTACAAAGGCAACCTTCACGAGGACAAAGTTCCGCTCCATTGCCAACAGGCGCGATTTCACTTTGGTTTCCCAGGCTCTCGTCTCTTCATTTGCCCTCATCCTGCTCACAGCGCTGCCGCAATCCAGGTCTTCGGTCAAACTTCCTTGGATTGGGACTGCCGGGAGAGCAATGACAGTCAGCATTACTGGTGGAATCCCCGATACTTGGTTTAGCAGAGCTTGTGCTGACTTGAGCTTGTGAATGGCGTTCTCCAAACGACCGAGTTTAAACTCCAATTGACCGCCAGCAGCGTCCGTGACATCCTTCCGAGCCTCCGTCAAGATCGTGATAACTCGCTGCACTCTCTCCACTTGGAGAATTGCGTCGTAATATGACTGCAGTGACTGCTCAGCTGACTTTTCAAAAGCATCTTCCTGTGGGAACTCTGGAGTTGGCCCCTTGAAGACGCTGCCATATAGAAACTCCAGCTCCTTCTTGGCTTCATGATGCCGGACTGCAATACACTCTAGTTCTGTGCGAATGGTGGTGGCCTTGTTATATCGAGCGTCAAGCTGCTGCTCTGTTCTCTTTGCCTCTTGTTGCTGTTGTAGTATATCAAGGTAGTCCCGTTGCTCCTGCTCCTGCCGCCCCTTGAAATGCTGTCCACTCATCCAAAATGCAAACCTCCTCGCAGGATTACCCGTGTAGGCATTGTGTTGCTTGAGGGCTGCCTCCCGCTTCTGATCTAGCCATTCCCTGTCCCGATGTAACCTGGATATACTTTTCGAGAGCTCAGCAATGCGATTCTCTTGATGTTTCAATGCGTCTGGTGCGTCGCTGGTCTCTTGGATGATGCGACGGAGCTCCCTACTGCGTGGTGCCGCCTGGTGGATTTTCTCTCTTATAGACATCGTAATCGAGCCCGCAACTCGACGTGTAATCTTTTTGACCTCGCTGACGGCCACGTGGTTCTTGCCGCAGACCTTCTGCATCAAGTGGCCACGAGTATGTGCATGATTGCAGCGCCGTTTATCTACATACGAACCATGCCATGCAGCTTCTCCCTCAGCCATAATGCCAAGCGAGGCTGGGCATCATTTCACGGCACACTTATCCGCGCCGCACACCTTACAAAATGATCATGGGGGGTTCAGGTTCAGTCCCATGACTTCTCTCGGAATGGGGACCATTGGCCAAATCATGGACAACGAATGCTGAATCTGGCATCTGTCTCCGAGTTTTCTAGGTTTCTGTATATGCGTAGTCTTTGAATGTATGCCTACATGAGACACGGACGTCGGTTTCGCACCCGAGAGTACAGGACAGTAGGCACCTATATTACCATCCAATGTAAGTTAACTGAGATCGGTTAGGTCGATGTAGGCCAGCGCTAAGTTAACTCTTCGGGCGGCTGGCCTGGCCCCCTGCCCAGTGACTTTGCGCTGTGCCCCGCTAACCTACAAGCTCCGATGCCCCCCTCCTAAGGTTTTCATTGAGGACCCAAAGCTCTCACCGCCAAAAAGTTGGAAAATTCTGCCGGATCAATTGTGGGCTTCCTCTGTGGACGGATTCCCGATCGCCTTGGACACTCGCGAACAAGGGACCATCAGAAAACAGCAAAGATGGCGGACGATGGCATGCTCCTCAACTTCGACCTTGGCGAAGCTGCGCTGAAGCCGCAGGTCAAATACACCGGCGGCCGGTGGAGGGATCGATCGCATGCCCAGCGAACTGCAAAGGGCAAGCCGAGCCTCAAGTCGTGGGACGGCGCAAATGGCACACCTGTGGACAAGGCCCGCCCGCTCGGGAGAGGCGACGGCGATGACGGCAATGATATCGACGGCGATCGGCCGGTGAAGCGACTGAGGACGTCGGGCGAAACACAGGGTCGGACTCACAAGGGCGGATCGGATCGTACAGATGCCAAGTCGCTGTCGTATATGACGGGCAAGCTGCCGCCAGGGAGCATCAGCTCGGGGTCGAGACAAGGCAACCACCAGATGACCAAGTCCGGCCCAGTCACATCGAGGCTCTTCACATCCAACCCGGCGCAGAAGACGGTCTTTGACGAACCAACCGAGGACCAGGAGCCGACGAAACCTTCCAATGCCCCCCTGTCGGAAGAGGCTGAAAACTTCCACGCCTTGGGCCTATCGAGGCGCATTGCTCTGCACCTTTCGAGCAAACTTGAGATGAAGGCTCCGACTTCCATTCAAAAAAACACGATCCCGCCGCTCACCAAGGACGACAGCGACGCTTTTCTCCAGGCCGAGACCGGTTCCGGTAAGACGCTAGCTTACCTGCTCCCGATCGTACAGCGTATCATGGCGCTCAGTCACGACCAGGACGGTACCAGTACTGGCACCAAGATACACAGGAACTCTGGACTTTTTGCCATCATTTTGGCGCCGACGAGAGAATTGTGTAAACAGATCGCCACCGTCCTGGAGAAGCTGCTTCGCTGCGCCCCCTGGATTGTTAGCACCACTGTGATTGGAGGCGAAAGCAAGAAGTCGGAAAAAGCTCGCATCAGGAAAGGCGTCAACATCCTGATCGCAACGCCCGGCCGGTTAACGGATCATCTCGATCACACAAAGGTGCTCGACGTTGGTACCGTCCGGTGGCTTGTGCTGGATGAAGGCGATCGGCTCATGGAGATGGGCTTCGAAGAGGAGCTGAAGAGTATCGTCGGACAAATTCGCAAAGAGGACCTAAAGAAGCAGAACGCTGAGGGTGTCAGACTCGATGCTTTACCTCAAAGGCGCGTCACCGTTCTTTGCTCCGCCACTATGAAGATGAATGTCCAGAAGCTGGGCGAGATCTCGCTCCAGGACGCCGTCCATATCACCGCCTCAAAATCTGACGACGACGCCGATGCCGAAGTGAACGAGTCCGTGTTCTCAGCCCCGGCTCAGCTCAAGCAGTCCTATGTTATAGCGGCTGCCAAACCCAGACTTGTCACCCTGATAGCGTTGCTCAAGTCTACCTTTGCACGAAAAGGTTCCGTTATGAAGGCCATTATCTTCATCTCGTGTGCCGACTCCGTCAACTTCCATTTCGAGCTTCTCCGATCCTTAGCAGCCTCTGCGGCATCTGAGGATACGTCGAAAACTGCCAACACTGTTGCTGACGCTGCGTACATAACCTCGCCGGCGAACCCGAAGATATCACTGTTCAAGCTTCATGGATCACTGGCGCAACCCGTGCGCACAGCTACGCTCACGGCTTTCAAGGAGGAGAAGGAACCGTCCGTGCTTATCACTACGGATATATCGTCTCGTGGTCTGGATGTGCCAGCCGTGGAGCTGGTCATTGAGTATGACCCGGCCTTCAGTGTCGCCGATCATCTTCACCGAATGGGACGTACAGCGCGTGCAGGGCGTGCCGGAAAGGCGGTGCTTTTCCTCCAGCCAGGAAGTGAGGAAGGCTACATTAAGCACTTGCAAGCTCCTAACCTATCCGGCCAGTCCTCGGATACAGTTATTGAAAAGGGCTTCATCACGCCGATCTCACTGCCAAGAGCCTCGGCGTCCGATGCTGAGAGTCCTGTCCTTGAGAGCGAGAAGTCTCCCTTCAAACGTGCCGAGGCTCTACAGCTGCACCTAGAGCAGCGGCTGCTTGAGTCTGAGAAGACTGGGAGCAAGCTGCTCGACTCGGCACGCCAAGCTTTCCGCTCTCATATAAGAGCATACGCAACCCACGTCAAGGACGAGCGGGTTTTCTTTGACATTACTCAATTACATTTGGGACACACAGCCAAGAGTTTCGGCCTCCGTGAGGCACCCGGAGGCATTGGAGGCGGTCCATCAAGGCGGGTGATCAAGGGCGGACAGCAGAAGTCTGGAACTGCGCAGAAGCGGAAAGCTGCAGCCCATGATAGCGATGATGATATACCAAAGAATAGGGGCACCGACAAGGGCGACGGAATGGGAGTTACAGACGAAGAGGCTGCAAAGCGTATGCGTATGAAGATGAAGGCAGTCATGAGTGCAGCAAGCGAGTTTAATATCGGGTAGCTGATTTCAACTACGTCGCACGTCGCTCACAATATACGGATGGGACATAATGTAGCCATTAATACCTGCGTTGAATTACAGAGTCCCGTTACATGTTAAAATGTCGCATTTCTCATGAGAAAGGTGATGCGTTGGGTATCACTTAAATTTGTGAAAAATGTCTACATAGCAGGCTTCAAGTAAGTCCTGCCCCCTTTCCCCTATTACTCAGACTATGCTTCTATCCGGTCGAACAACCTTTTTCCTGGCGAAGATTGCACTCAATAGACCACAGCAGTCTCAGATGCACCAGCGATATCCCTCTATGACGCGTAAAGGTCACCATATTAGGGCGGAGGCTTGGCCGGGAATATGCGCCTAGTACGAAGGGATGGTTGAAGATCGACCGAGACAGACGGATGTTTCTCCAGTAAATAGCCAAGGTTCATGGCCAGAGCATCCGTGTTCTGTGTTACCTGTGACCGTCACAGCCAAAAGTCGAATCCCGATAGTAGTATGCTAGTTTGCTTGGGTCAGCAGTTGCAGCGACGATAGGAATCAAAGAAACACCTACCAGTATTCTGGATTACGGCGTAATCTTGATGGCTCATGCGAACAAGATTGAGTCTCCCTTACGTGACTCCATCGCCTTCCTTTCAACGCTTCTTATTTTTCTTGCCACCCTTGGGCTTGGGCTTGGGCTTCCCGGATGATCCTTCTAGTCTCTCGAACTTGTTGGCATGCTCCATGTCGAACTCCGACTTCCTCCTGCGGAATAGAAGCATGGCAACCTTGGCGTCTTCGATACTGGAGTGATGCCCAGTCTGGATCTCAATGTTCAGGATCTCCTTGGCCAGCACCCGCAATGCCGGCTTCGGACCATGCCCGTACTGCCGAAACCCCGAGAAGCGGGCGGTGTCTCGTATGTGCGTCGTAGGGTGTGTCAGCATCAAGACCGCCAGGTCGTGCCTTATGTCGTGGCCCACGAGGATCCGACCCCTGACAAGTTGGGCAATCTCGCTCTGCACGTCGTCAAACTCCCGGGCCGACGCCATGTGCTTCGGGGTTATGCCCGTGATCTTGGTCCGCCAGTCAGTGACGCGCTCCTTGGGCCGCACGTACGAGTCGTACACCTGGCGGCCATGGAAGTCCACCAAGCTCACACGGGCCAGGACCGAGTCGTGCCCGTCGGGCCCGACACCCACCATTTCGCAATCCATGGCGACGTACTTTCCCAGCTCGACGTTTGGCGCAAGGCCCTCGTTGACGCGCGGCTTGTCCGTGTTCATGATTGCATTGCGCTTGACGCCCAAACCGTAGGCCTCAGCGAGTGCCTCGGAGGATATGTCATTGTCATCAGCCCAGAGGGCGAGCGACGGCTTCACAGTCGTGGATGAGCCCCTAGAGACGGTGGACGACTGTGTGATACCCATTGGCTTTGTCGAATCTCGCCCGGGTGCCTTGGACGATGAGCCAGCGCGCGAGCCCTCACTTTTCTCCACCCGCCGCTTCTTGGCCTCCTGCAAGTCTGTTGCTGTCTCGGGTTTCCTCTTCGTAGACAGCTTGGTTGATGAAGGACCAGGCGCGGCTTGGATTTGGGCCTGGAGCTGTTTCCAATTTGATGATAACCCCGTCGCCATCATAAATTGGTCGCTGAAAGTTCTAACGACAACCTTGGTCTCATTTCCTATTTGACAGGAACTGACAGAAGAAGTAGACCTTCACGTGCAGACAATGAATGAAGGCCCGGGTAAGATGGTAGGTAGATGAAAATCCCTGAAGTCCATAAAAATGAGTGGGTCAAGAGGCAGGCCTGGCTCTGGATGCGCCCACTAACGAAAAGTCATACAGCGCACTGCCCCGCTAAACGCATACAAACTCAGGAACCCGTAGCAGTCGTCCCCGAGTCGATCAGCACCCAACCTCGGAAGCTATAAAGAAAGTCGTCTTGCCTCGCAGGCGGCCAAAACGGTTTCCCCCATGTTAAACAGTCTATCGGACCCGTGACAATCGGAAGTGTTGCTTTCGCCAGGATAACTCTGCATTCAAATGCCGGCCCTCAGGTTCTCTGGAGACTTATTTACAATGCGCCAAGACAACCAAGAGTTTGCCGTTCGGCAAGTGCCAGAGGGCGACTGTAGTCGAGCGCCTCCCACAGACTCACATAAAAAGCTACTTGCTGAGGGGCGCGCAGTTGAAAACGATAGATGGACCCCTTGACTTTTGTCCACATTGCTGTGCTGGTTCTGGTTTATGCTATACAACCCCAACTTCATGGCCGTGACATCTCATATCTCATCAACTATATACATTGGTAATTATCCGCCATCGCAGCGTTTAGTGCTTGCCGTAGTTCTCGTTGACCAGCACATATCTGTATCTGGCCTTACCAGCATCCATATCTACCACAGCACTGTTAGCATCCTTCAATGGCCTCTCCTGAACCCAAGGCTTGATCTTCTTGTCAACGGCCAGCTGCAACATCTCCTTGATCTCGCTAGGAGCGCCGATGGCACTGCCTCCAACCTTGATACCGTTGCCAATCAGAGTGAAAGCGTTGATGTTGGGCAGGTTGCCGCCGTCAGGAGCACTGGTACAAATCAGCCATGTCATCAGAAGATACTTTGGCGCGTGAACTTACCCAACTTGGATAAACGTGCCCTTAGTCTTCAAGAGCAACAGGTAGTCTTGAAGAGGCATCTTCTCGCTCGAGACAGTGCTGACAATGAGGTCCAGAGACCGCCTGTTCTTGGCAACCCAGTCCTTGTCGTCGTCGGTCGCGATATACGCGTCAGCGCCAAGCTTGAGGACGTCGTCCTTTTTGCTGGCCTTTCGCGAGATCCCAACAACCTTGTCGGCGCCGAGTGCCTTTGCGAACAGCACACCGAAGTGGCCGAGACCACCGACACCGACGATGCCGACCGTCTTGCCAGGTCCGCAGCCGTTTTGATGCAGCGGCGAGAAGACGGTGATGCCACCGCACAACATGGGGGCTGCGTCAGCGGAATCAAGGCCTTCAGGAATAGGGATGACGAAATGGCCATTGGTGCGGTTGTAGTCCGCGTAGCCGCCATACGATTTACCCTCGTCATTGGGGTAGATGGAGCCGTAGGTGTTGACGACTCCATTGGCGCAGTGGTTCTCTTCACTGTTGCTGCAGTCCACGCAGTCCGGCTTCAAGCAGGAACGAGCCTGAGCGCCAACTCCAACACGATCACCGACCTTGACGTGCTTGACATTCTGGCCGACACGAACGGCCTTGCCCACGATCTCGTGGCCGACGACACAAGGGTATGGCGTCTCTCCCCAGCCAGACTTCAGCACTAGATTGGTTTGTCAGCTACCATATCGTTTCAGGGTGTTCCAAGGGAATACCGTACTGTGCAGGTCACTGCCGCAGATACCGCAGTGGGAGATCTCAATGTCGACATCATCTTCGGACCACTTCTTGGGCTCAAAGTCACCCCACTCCATCTTCCCCTTGATGGATTCGGGCGTCTTGCCGAGCCATCCCTGGAACTTAGGGCTCGCTTGGGCTGCCATTGTAATTGATCGATGTTGTGTAAGTTTGGGATGTTTGAGTTATCTTGTGTTGTTTCTCGTGTTGATCTGCAGCTTTTCTTGAACGACCAAGCATCCGGAGGGTTGACTGAATGTGGCCATACTGCTATATATACCGCACGGGTCTGCGGGTCCGGCGGATATCTCTTGTCCTAACTTTCATCTTCATGACGTCTAGTGGAGCTGGTGACGGTTCTGATTTGGTGGCGCCTCATTGGCGTATTCTGGGACAGAGTTGAGATAGGGTGCTGACACCAAGAACGGCGGGCCCATCGGAGTTAGTGTTCCAAGTTTTAGGCGATAAAGGCATTCGGGAAGAGCTGGCGGGATAGAGTTGGCTCCTTGTGGGACTGCGGCAGTGGGCCTTAGTGAGCCTACAATCGATCTAGCCGATGAAGCCGACGACTGCTTCGGCCTTTGCGCATCCTGTTGCCCCAAGTTGTCTTGCTTAGTGAACCACGAAAGGGCCATGACCAAAGCGAATGGTCGCGAGTTATGTCTCCTAGGCTGGCAGATGCAGTTTCGCGTGGTGTGGCGGCAGGCGGGAATCAGGAAGAGTACAGTAACGAAGCAGCTAACTACTGTAGTCAAGCAAGCGCAATCTCCGCTCTCGAGCTATGGGTCCTTGTGAAGACGGCGGTCTGGCAATCAGAAGAAGTCCAGAGAACTGCATGGGATGGTCTAGCCTACGGATATTGTGCTTAACCCCGTGGGCAAGACCCAGTTTCCACTGCCATGAAACATGGCCCCAGCTGAGAAGTCCGCCATCATTCCGCCGCTACGTATTCGATTAGAAGCTGTTCCAATCAATGACCGTCGAACCATCTATTCATCTGTCTGCCTACATAGGTATGTAATAGCACCTCACGATGAGTAATCCGAATAACGCTCGGGAATAGCCTCACACCATATCTATTAATTTCTCTTCTAATATAACAATAATATAACAGTTGCATTCAGCCCAAGCCAACAACAAGGACTCACATCACGCAGGAGGAGAATTCGCTAGGTCCCACAGCTAGGGTAACTGAAGAGTCCTAGCTTCACAAAGCTTTGCTAAGCATTAGACCTGCTGCATCATCATATCAACCATGACATCCTAGTCTTGGGAGCCATGTGAAGACAGAACTCGCGGATTGGCCCATTTGGTCACATAAGGCGCCCGGCTACGTTCGTCGAGGCCTTTAGTCTTCGTCAATGCCGATTGCACCTCACCTCACCTCACCTACAGCGGCGCAAAGCAAGAAGCCACCCAAGTTTAGCAGACAGAATGAACTTGATCTCAACTTGCGGTATGTTCTAGGTGATATAAGAGACAAGGTAACGTGGAGCATTATGCCCCCGGACAGCACTTCCAAAGTGCCATGGGGGACTCGGCAATTCGATTGAGTTAGCACCTAGGAGTATGTAGCTTCGTCCTGGTGCTAAAGCGCCTAACCTCGGATGGATAATGTAATCACCTTCTTTGGACTTACGTACGTACTTAGGGTCTACTTAGGCAAGGATGAGAAATTGCCCATGTTACCCCCCTCATATTCCTCTCGTAGTTGTGATATTGGCTAATGGATTATTGCAACTGTTCTGTGTCCCGGAGCTTACCTCTCTTCAGCCTTACATGCTCTTGGGGGGAATTTCTTGGCAAGCGATGCGTGTAACCCGCGCTGCCGTGGTGATAAACATTTTGTTCTGAGGTTCAACGCCAAGGAGAAAAGCGTAAAGGCAACCGCATACATATCCAACTATCTAGTACCTAACACAAAGAAGACCTATCAAGCAAACGTTGACTCACCAAATCCTAAAATTAATGGCCTTCAGTCCTCTAAACTGCACTGTGGATGATTGAGAAGG